CGCAAATTACGTCAAGCGGTAACGTTATTAGCGGGTGTTGCGTTAAAAATTGACTCGCGCATATCGTAACCATGATAAGGTACGCGTAAATACTGCATGACGCTATTCGGTTTTCCGATATCTCTCTAATAACTGTGCCGGTCAGGCGCTGTGCACAATTTTAGAGGCCATAAGTGGGCGTGCTATGTGCGCAAACTAGTATCCTAACTAGTGCCCGATTCCGAAAATTGGAACCACGAAAAACTATAAAGAAAAAACATAGTTTATAATCTGTATGACCTGTGCAATTACTACTGTTTTCCCGTTCAAAATATTCTATATAAGGTTGCGATGAATTTTTTGCAACGGCTATTAAGCTATCTTGTGTACTTCGCACTAAAAAAGGTTCTAAAAAAACAATGTTCGACTGCAAGGTCTGCTAGTAAACAATTTTAAGCTTAAAGTATCATAACACTATTATTATATAAACTAAAGTGTCAAAACGAATGACAATGTCAGAAAATAAATAAATAAATGTGGCAACTTGACATTTTTTCCAGCAGATCTACTACCTGAATCCCCAGCGGGAAATTTCAATTTCAGTTAGTCAGCCCGGCGCCGAATACGGTTGGCAACAATGAATTTAAAAATCGCGCCCTTGAGTAAGTAACTAAAAGTTTAATTGGGGGGGGGGTATCGCTTATACGTCCAATTTAGTTTACGTAATTATCAGTCGAATACTCTAGATTAGGGAAAAGCAGAATCTCCACTGGAGAAACAGACAGGATCTAATTCTAAAACCACAAAAACTGCTAATGCTAATGCTTAGCAGGAATAAAGTGCAGATTTCAAACAGGTCTCTTGACAGGACATTATCTGGCTGTCAAGTGCAACCTGAACAAGCTCAACATGTATCAGGGAACTCTTTGCTGCAGACTCTGCGATAAAGATTTTGAAATAACGGAGCACATAATATGTCTCTGCGAGGATCTGTATTGTAAACATTTTCTATTTGAAAAAGCAAGGCTAGAACCAGAGAAACTATGCTCACATCCTATCAAGGACCTGCAGAAGTTGGTGCAGGATACAGGGATAGAAGAGTGGATGCAGACATAGGAAGGGTACAAACTAGTGATAACTCGAGCGAAAATTCACTCGAGTACTCGATTATTGAAATAACCGACATCGCTCAATTATGAACGAGCGATGCAAGTGACAAGCGACAAACGCAAGCGATCCTAGAATGAAATAAATTGAAATCCGATTTTAATGTGATATACTCGATAAATAGCCGAGCGAATTTTCTACATACATTAATTTCTCAAGCGAATCGCTCGTCGCTTGGTACTTGCCATTCATCACCGAAAGAATATGTGCTCTGCGCACGCAACTTACTTGCTTGGCGTTACGAGTACAACAAGCAACAAGCGGCGGGCGAAAAACCGTATTTTTAAAAACGAGCTATGTTTCGCTCGATTCAATAATCGAGTATTCGATTATTGAAATTAATCGGTTTTTCCCATCACTAGTGTAAACACAATAGGCCTTACAGGTCGCAGTGTTTCCGGCAGAGAACGGCCACTTAATATTCAGAAAAAAATCATTAGTTGAATTTTGCTTCTATGAACAAACATTTTTCTCATATTTCCAATTATCTACAGTAGGCATACTAAATAATTTCAATATCCTCATTTAACTGAAGTCTTCGTCCGACTCCGAAGGACATAACCAATCAAGTCAAGTGGATAATTGAGAGATGTACGTTCCAAAATCAGTCTACAGCATGTTCGAGGTTGCCGACAATGTGTGTTTATTATTTGATATTATCCAAATAACACGAAATAGTATCGGTGTCTATGTAATTGTGAAGATGTCAGAGCTGTCAAAATGTAAATAAACCAAAAATATATCTCCTTAATGCCGTGTCCGATGTGTTTTATAACGTTTGTTAATAAACATTTGGATTAATTGTAATAAGTCGGCATTAAGGGTGTTGCATTTAAAAAATAGGAATATAGCATTTTAAATATTCCCATTTTGGTGACGCCATAAAAAATATACCCAGTATAGGATAATGTAAATTTTTCTTCGCGGATTTAGTCTGTTATCCTTGGTGTTTAGGTAAATATAGCTATAAGTATTAATAAAGTTAAAGGTAGTACCTTAAATAAAAATAATGTACTATATGCAGAATTATATATATATATATATATATATACAAATTAGTTTATAACGTTCTTCGCCGTCTTCTGATTTCCAGTCTCCATTGGTCTCTGTCTGTCCAGAGGTTTTCGTCTATTCCTCTTGTTCTGATGTCCCCGTCTATTCCTTCCTTCTCTCCAACTCCGTCTAGGCCTCCCTCTCTTTCGTGTACCTTGTGGTGTCCAATTGAGTATTTTTTTCGGGATTCTGCTCTCTTCCATTCTTTGTACGTGCCCGTACCACCTGAGTTGGTTAATTTTGATGTCTTCTGATATTCTGTGTTTAACGCCCATGATGTTCTGAATTCTTTCATTTCTAACTCTATCCAGTTTCGATTTTCCGGCCGCGCGCCTCCAAAAGTCCAAATCTGTAGCTTCGAGTAACTTAAGGTTTCTTTCTTTCAAAGGCCACACTTCACTACCATAACTAATGATACTTTTAACTAGGCTGTTATAGATTTTGTGTTTGTTTTCTTTTGATACGGCCTTATCCCATAAAATACTATTCAGTTGTCTAATTGCTTGTCTTCCCTGGTTGTTTCCGTACTTAATTTCTTCATCAAGGCTACTATCGTTGGTAATGTGCATGCCAAGATATTTATATTTTTGGCAGTGTTTTATTTCTTGCTGTTGCTGTTCTAGGATTATGTTCTGTTGTTCGCCGCCGATACACATATATTCCGTCTTCTTAAGGTTTATCTCCTTAAAGTTTGCGGGTCATATATTCCAGATCCTCGTAGTCTTGAGCCAGTATTATTTGATCATCAGCGAAACAAAGAGTGTAAAGTATCGAGTCGTTTAGTGGTATCCCCATCTGTTCACACTTCCTTTTCCACGTTTTCAGAGCTTGTTCCAAATAAATTTTAAACAGTGTCGGCGATAGACAGCAGCCCTGTTTAAGACCTTTGTTTATGCTGAATCCCTTTGATACTGTTTGTCCTTTCTTTACTCGGCTAGTGTTGTTCTTATAAAGTTCTTGGACAGCCTTAATTAATGTTATGCTGATATTCGTTTTCTCAAGGGCTTCCCACAATTTAGACTGGGGTACACTATCATATGCTTTCTTGAGGTCTACGTAGAGGAAATGTATTTCTTGATTTCTTGCCATCTTTTTCTCAATTATCTGTGTCAGTGTAAATAAACGGTCGACCGTGGATCTACCAGCTCTAAATCCCGCTTGTTCTTCAGCCTCCATATCCCGGTATTCTTCCTCAATTCTCTTTTTGACCAATTTTCCATAGACCCTTGAAACAGAGCTCAGCACGGAAATTCCTCGATAGTTATCGCAATCGTCTTTACTTCCTTTCTTGTGTATTGTTGTTATATATGATGTCTTCCATTCTTTCGGTATATTTTCACCATTAAGGCACTTTTGGAAAAGACTAGCGAGCTGCTTATATAATTTATCCGTGCCGTACTTGAGTAATTCTGGAGGAATTTCACCTGGACCAGGCGATTTTCTATTTTTCGGGGTTTGGCAAATTTGTTTTACTTCTTTGGTATTGATCCTCAGTGGAGAAGCTGCGGTTCTTATTTGAATGTCGGATTGTGGCTGCGATGTTTGTTGGTATTCGGCCCTTTCTTCGGTTAACAGTTTAGCAAAGTATTCGTCCCATTTTGGCAATGTAATTGGTGAGATGATATCTTCAGTCTTCTCTTTTCGAAGGGACCTTAATATTCTCCAGCTTTCGATACTTCTACTACCTCCTATTTTAGGAAACCTCCTAAAGAATTTTATGCCGAATCTAATTATCTACAGAAAAATGGGGGGTGCAATTACAATTTAAAAAAAACTTGAAATTTTATCATAATTTTTTTGTGATACCCTGTATACAACAAAATATTTTTAGGATATGCACCATTATAAAAGGCATGCAACATAGAGTATAAAGCTTTTTTCATATCTTCGACAACAAGGACGATATTGGACTTCCTCGCACTAATGGGCCACCTTGTATAAATTCATAATTTATATTTCGACGTAGTCCAGCTTTTGTCCGGATTACAGAGATCACTTGTTCGGAATTTTTAAAAACTGGTATGAAAACCCTAATCCGGAGACATACTGTATATCACATTATTTTGTGTCATTGGCTATGAATTGGTTCCGCATATTCTTTTTAATAACTCCACTGGTTTGTTAACTTTTCGACTATTGCTGGTACAAATGAGTATCACTTTTTATCCAGATAGAGCTGTGAAGGTTAAATTTAAATGTGTCCCACATTTGTTTTATGAACTTGTTTCCACTAAATCGTTAAGTTTACCAGATGTTTTAATGTGAAACATTCAGATTTGATGTTTGACGTCATTAAATGGTTAAAGTTGAAACATATTTTCAGTAGATAATTATTAAATCATTTACACAATTAATTGTCAACAAAAAACTTATAATTTACATTACTAAGAAGAAGAGGGAGGTTCTTATGGCTTAAAAACATTTAGGTGATTATTGACAGTGTCAGTGACTTAAGACCTTTTCTTTTACCCGTGCATTTATAGTAATTGACCTTAATTTAAACATCACCCTATGCGCGTCCAGCATGCCTTTCTTCTTTAGTTGATTTGATTAGCGATCTGCCTAATCAAATGAAGCTTTCTAAAAGGTTAATAGGTCTTACAAGTCATTGCTCCGTAGTAAAATGCATGAAGATTTAACACCTTAAGTCTACAGAGTGTTAAATCATTCAGTTCAAATTGTAATACCTCAAGTAATATAAAATTACACTAAATACAGTAAAAAATGTAGATTTGTAATTTAAGTAGAATAATATATGCACCTAAAATTTTAGCCAACACTGTATAATGTTTTTTTTTCAGGTTGGGACAGAGGTAGCCCATCCAGGATTAGGAAATGATTTTAGTGATACAGATGCTCAAAAATTTTACACTTATTACCAATGGGTCTGCTTCGTATTATTTTTCCAGGTAATTAATAAGGCATTTAAATAATTATTTTTGTCGTAACATTTCATTTGTTTTGCACAAAATACAGGGTCCCACAACTGTGTATCAGGCATAGCTCTTAATGCTCTTATATTAGAGAAGTTATGGACTTCGTTTAAGTGAAAACTTGTTTTGTTAAGTAAAAATTGAAGTAAAAAATGCGGCAATATACATATATTTTTTTTATTTATGAATTTATTTCTCTGGGACTATTAAAACAAGGTTAATAATAACCTAGGTTTATGTACAGTGATAGTAGATACCCAAAATACATAGGATGTTCCATTGTCTCAAAAATCCAGCCTCACATGGGTAAGGCAGTTTTTTGTTGTGTCACCCTGTAAACATATTTTCCTGAAATATATCCTAGTACACAGTTTAAGTCTATACTTAAACGAAATCTCTAAGTTTTAGTGACCAATATATACCCGAGGACCCTGTATAATAGTATCACTAAATTAGTAAATTATTTGTTAAAATATATACATATTTTGATTATTTTCTTTAAAAATATTTTTTTCGTACAATTTTTTTTCTATATTTCTAAACCTTATAATACATAGATACACTAAAATTATGTTTACTGAGTGTCTCAATGACTGTGTTCGACGAAACATCTCAATAACGTAAGAATGTTGAATTTTTAAGGGTAGCAGATATTAAAATTTTAAAAAATCGTATTATCTTAAAAAAATCGCATTTTAAATTTCAATCTATAGTGCCATGGCTGTGTTAAAAACACTAATTTTTAATCAAGGAGTCTTGAAAATATAGATCCCGACCGGTTAAATGATGACCAAATTGTATTTTTAATCATATCTCATTTTTTTCAAATGAAACAAGAGCGGCTTATTAGCATATTTCGAAAAAGCATTATTTTACAAATAATTTGGTACCACACACTTTCGAGTCAAAAATTGTCCCACCGCACCAATCAAATTGTCGCACCCGGTAATATTGGGATTAGGAAGTAGAATTAAATTATTATTACGAAAGAATTTTAAGTATGGTTCCTACCCTCAAAAATTCAAACTTCTAATAGTATGAGAGCCAGCACCGTCGGAAAAACAAGTATTTTAAGACGTCTGGCTCTTTGATATATCTTTTACTATGCTCTCTAGAACAGCATGCGGCCCGTCTGGCTGCCGGTAAACGTTGCGTTCCCTACTGCGCATTGAAAGAAGATCCTATATTTTTATTAGTCCTTTAAATTCTAGAATTGAATATAAATGGAACATGTCTCCATAGCACAGTGCGTAGAGTTTCCGACCACGAACCGATGATTCAGAGTTCGAATCCGGACCAGGATAAAGACTTTTTTACTTTATTTTTGTTTATATTCTGATAGTAAAGTATTAAATATTTGTTTTTTTTGAATCACCAGATTTATTTAATACTTTACTATCAGAATATAAACGAAAATAAAATAAAAAAGTCTTTGCCCTGACCCGGATTCGAACTCATCGGTTCGTAGTCGGAAACGCACTCGGCTATGGAGACATGTTCGATTTGTATTCAATACTAGAATTTATAGGACTAAATTATTAAAAAAATATAGGATCTTCTTCCGATGCGCAGTAGTGAACGCAACGGGTGAATGCAACGCAGCCAGACGGGCCGCATGCTGTTCCAGAGAGCATAGTAAAAGATATATCAAGGAGCCAGACCTCTTAAAATACTTTCTCAAAAACGTTGCTAGCTCTTAGACTATAAGTTTCTATACCATTTGAACAAGAGTATTGAAAGACTTGTAGTAATAGTAATATGTTATATTTATTTCTACCTCTAGGCCGTGGCTTGTTATACACCAAAAGTCATATGGGACAGTTTTGAAAATGGATTGATGAGGATGTTGGTCAGGGGTCTCAACGTTGGTATTTGTCACGAAGATGAAAAAAACTCCAAGAAAGAAGTCATTTTGGAGTACCTCATGAAGCACGTCAAGGTAAAAAATATTTTTCTTAACAAGTTGGTATAATTTTATACTTATTTTTTCCATTTGGGGCCAGTATTTTTTGTACATACCGTATATATAGCGTCAAGGAAATTCTGTTAAATACTATTACAGAAAACATCCGTTTTTTACTACCATTGAACGTAATTAGTTATCTATTGTCCATGATAAATTCATGGTTTAAATTAAGTTCAATGAAATCTCTGTTGAATCATGAAGCGCGAATGCATTGTGGTTTTTGGTCAGAGGACTTATTTCTAAAACTGATTACCTAACCTAACCTTTTTTATCAATATTTTATCATTAAAAAGTATATGTTCTATTATTAAATATTAATTTGTCTATATAAATAATCGAGTGACTAATGTTTTATAATATTTGCTACATTTATAAACTTTTACAAATCCGACAATTTGTTTCTCATCTATAAAACAGATTTAAAAAAAAATCTACTAAATTTCTATTATTTAGAATTTGGAAGCGTCCAATGACATCTAATAAACATTTATTTAGATCTTTAGATTGGAAAGTGCCCATAAGAACAATGTAAACACTGTTTGGCGCTATTCTTGCAACGGTCGCGACCCAAACCTTTCGAAAATTTCGGAGTGGTTCGGCTTTTTCCGGAGTTATATCGCCAAATATTATTTGTTCAAATTTATTAATATTTTCTTTTAATTTTATAAAAAAAATAGAGTGTGTTGCATACAAGAAACTCTATTTTATACAAGGACTTGTATGAAATACCTATGAAACATTGGAAACCGACGTTATGCCACGATCCACGATGGCTTTTGCAGTTCACAATTCACAACACAGCTTTTTAAGTTTTTAATGCCACTTTTTCACAATTATCACTGGTTTGAGTAAATAAAACTTAAATTAAACTCACAAGATAGCAATAATTACTTTGAAAATGGCCGCTTTAAACACTGTTCGGAATTTTTTCAACGATAGCGGTTTAGATTTTGAAAGATTTTATAATTTTTGAAGATTCTGACTTTGACAAGAGAAAATTATTTCTGTTTATGTTTGCGGTTGTTCTTAGCAACCGCTATAGCAGCGCCAGATCGCGTGCAACGGTTGCGACCCAAAACAATTTCGCGACATAAAATTTTGACGGGCATTCCATTCTAAATTTTATGTCATTGGGGAAGTGCATTAACTACATCAGGGAATCACTGGGAGAGGGGGTCAAGGCGATTCTCACTAAATCTCACGTAGGGGAAAGAGGGGATTTCGGAAAATATCACGTAATTTTTATGGCAAAAGATAGTGTAAAAATGTGCGAAAATCAGAATAATTCAAAGCGAAACATGTTTCTAGACCAAAATATGTCAAAATCTGACACAATTTTTGACACGATTTATATTAAAATCCATGATATAATTAAAAATTTGGATAGATATTAAAATCCATGAATAGATATAAAGTTATTAATATTTGCATGAAGTTTTTTTGAACCATTTCTTAAGAGTCCATTTCAATAGTCAAAATAAAATAAAAGCAAAGAAAAATAGCAAAATAAGCTTTCGGCATTTAACGTTTTATGTAAAACTGGCTAGGTATTTTTACACAAATGAAGAAGGAAATTAAAGATTAAGGATTATACATATCCGTATGGTAGCACATTTTTAGACAATTTCTTTATTTTTAAGATTTTGATGGCCAGACATCAATAAAATATTCCTTATGTTTGGACTAAATTTACTCGATAATAAAGACATAATTTAAAATTCTGTTACAATACGGAAATAGATTGAATTTTTGTGATTACAGTAATATATAATTTATATGGTTTTGTAACAAATTGCTCGTTATTTTATGGCAAATGCTGAAGCTCTGCAAACTTTAATCAAGCCTAATCAAAGCACGTGTGTTTGCAATTTTGGGTGTGGCTTAACACGAGAGGATCGGGCTAAGCCAGGCAGATTTCTGAAATGTAATATATACTTCCTTGGCCACTCGCTTAGCCGACCCCTGAGAGAAAACCCCAGCCGACGATTCAACAGTGCAAGGGGGGTTCAAAAAATCCTCAAAAACGTCTCATGTAACTTCTGTTTCTAGTTTCTATTATCCAAATTGTTAAATATCTGATTAAATAGAAGTAAATAATTACAAAAGGCTGTTTAGATTTCAAATGTAAAAAACGCAATCGGTGTTTTTAACTATAAATTAATACTAAAATAATACCTATTCATATTTTTTTTGAAAAATTTCTACATTACAATAAAGTAAAGTAAATTACACCAAACCAGGTGCTTTTTTTAACTATTATGGTGATTGCTGGTTCTAACAACGAGCTATTGTTATTTAAAAATGTCAGGAAACTCACGGTTTGTAATAAAACTCTTTCCTTCCTTTTGTATAGCGTGAAGCAAGTACAATAATAAACAATTTCTACGGTCTATAAACATTACGACCTCATTATTACTAATTAAAAATAAATAGGTAGTAAAATATATAGCAAAATAATTTTTGTTAAATTTGCTAAATTTACGTCAATGAAATTACAGTATATTTTTTCTAAATAACTTTAATTTATTGATAACATTATAATTCACTTTGATGGTTAGTTCTCTATATAATGTAAAAATTGTTAATAATACATATTTTTATACGTATAATGATCAGAGAAATAAAAATACTAGAGAGGTTCAAAAATATTTTTGCGATTTTTGGTTTCCTCGTTAAATTTGACATTGGAAATATTGAAAATTTTATCTATCAGTCAAATTGTATCCTCCTACAATAATTTTTGTAGCTATAGGCTTGGTGCATTTCAGTTGATTTTAAAAATTCCGACCAGAGCGCTCCATCGGCAGAAATCAGAAGTTTTCACTGTGTATTTTACGTAGTTCCGATGTTGATAGCGTTGAAATAATATTAAAATCCTGGCTTTGTCATAATATTTAAATATTTTAATTTTTAATAGTGTAGTTATTGAAACTATAAAACACTCATGTACGAGGTTTTTGTGATGTAACGCTGTTTCGGATAGTAAAAATAAGAATCCGAACAGGACGTCGCACAGTGCTTCGTCCCATGGACAAAAATCGAAAAAAAAAAAGGAAAAATTTTACTAATATCTGAATATGTAATTTTATACTTATAGCAATGTTCAACCATCATGTATATTATTTTTCATAAACAGCGTTTTTTGTTAGCAAATATTTTCACTAAAAATAAATTTTGCGATCTATCTTATCAGTGAAAAGAATAACATTCATAGTACCTAGTTCTGTATATTATGGAGTTAAACGGTACGTACTTAATTTAAAGCCACTATGGATATTGTTAAACAAGGTATGTACTTTAAATTTATTTCTAAACAAGTTCGTGATTGTTTAGTTTTTATTTATTTTTTAAGATGATTCTTAAATGGGTATAAAAATTTTACGTTTTCAAACTTCAAAAAGGCATTTAAAAAAAAACATATCAAAACATATCGTATTTATTGAATATTTTTGTTATCATATTCATACACTTTTAATGATGATTTTTAGGTAATTTCTTTAAACTTCACATTCCAAAACACATTCGAGTGTTTCACATGAAATTTATTTTGAGAACACTGACTGATTTTTACAAGAAATAATACCTAATCAACATTAAGTGTAACTTTTTAACTAAATATAGAGCAAATTTGCAACAAAAATGCGACGGCTTATAGGCTGCTTATTTTTATTTGTGTACGATTGTACGGTACTATAGAGAACAAACTCGAATATAACTAGATCTGATAAGAATTCTGAAAGAACTACATATATCCTATTTTACCTTATTTATATTTTTTTCGAGTGGTAAATCACTTAATTTGATTTTTCTATCGACATTTTTACAGGGTGTGTTAAAAAAGATAATTTTATACAGAGTAATCCAATTTTCTTATTGTAGATTTTACTTGATAAGGTTAGTAATAAATACATAATAAGTCGAAACGTCGTTTAAAAAGACAATGTCAGTTCAAGAATTCATATTTTTAGTCATGTTTCAAACAAATGGAGTACTCTGTATAGTTCAATGACTAAATAATACAAGGACTAATAATACCCGAGACCAAATTGTTATCATACCACCAAACAGTGCCGTGGCACATATTATTCTTAACTTAGCTGCTTGAAGAGATATTTATATATTTTTGACAAATGTTTTATCTACGCCTATGGTGTATGCGGTGGTATCATACTAATTAATTAAAAACAAACGTATTAAAATGTTAACAAAAGGTACAAAACTAGGATCGACGTGTAGCACATATCAAGTACATATATAATATCAGCAAAATAATTATCGAATTCAATAAGAAAACTAAGAAAACGCTAAACAGGTGGAATGTTTATTTACCTATGAAACGTAACTCTTGGCTCTTTCTTATCGCTGCGACTTTTACACTTGAAAGCTGAACAACTAATTACCATTGTAATAAAGTTTATACAAAGTTCACTACACACAAACTATCTAAAAACTCGCTAAAATTGTCGCTAATGACTCATTCGTTACAACCAAAAAAATGGCGTCTAACATCACAAATTCTGCTGCAGCCTGTATATGGGCGTTACATGTCCTTGTATTTTTTAGCCACTGGTATAGTTACATAAATGCAAATGTCAGTTTTCTTGTAGTTATACAGAGTTATGTAATTACTTTTACGTAATTTATAAAAATTTATACAACTCTTATACAAAGAAAATAATAATTGTCTTCCAAAATAATAAAGTGAGAACACTTGACAGTGACAGTTGCTCTGTCATTGTTCAGTCATTTCTTGGATGTCGTCTGTCGAAATCTTCCCTGAATCGTTGGAGAGACTTTATAGTAGTCCTCCAGTACATAATTTTTTGCTTTTTCACTTCAAAAAAATATTCTCGAAAAAAAAACCTGAGGCCAGATTCTGTAAACATATTTCCTGTCTAGTGACTCATCGATCGTATACAAATAGCACAGACTAGACAGGAAATTTCTTGCTACGGAGCTTCCAGAGTACCACTGTTGCTTTATCAAAAGCACAATAACATATTAGAGACTGTGAAAAGAAAACAAAATAACTTCTTTATTTATTGTTTTTGGGTTGTTAGGTCTCAAACAAAATCTTGTCAAAAAGTTTTTAAGGCTGTAATATTTAAAAAAAGTTCCATATCAACTTCATATTATTATGGTATAAATTTTATACCGTAACTAAGTATAATAATTAAATATTATTCGTGTATTCGCATTTTGATTTTAAATTTGGTTCAAGTTATTTTTGATATAAAAATCTTTTGTATTCTCTTTTTATATTAAATTATAGACAACATAAAATATAAATCAAAATGAGATTTCATTCCAATAATTAAAATTAGATATTTATTTACGGTTATACTGTAGGAGAACTTGTTAGTTGTTAGAATACCAAAACATTAAAATGCTAGATTTTTAAGCACAGTCACAATTTTTTTTTCATATAAATTGCGATGAGTAAAAACTAAATTTTTGTGATGGTTGTTTCTAAACTACTCTCCCCTATTTATAGTTATTAAGAAAAACTGCCAAAATAGAATACGGTTGTAATGTTTTTAAAAAAACATGTATCCGACTGTTAATCTTGTGATTTATAATAGGCTCCATTAAAGATGACACCTGTAGTTATGCAACTAAAATTGCATTGCGTCCTAAATGATCTTACATAGGACTCTATGAATTGCTGGTTGCATATTCAGTAATGTCACTATAATCGACCCAATTATATCTGGATATTATTCTAGAAATTAGAAAATAATTATATATTTTTGTATAAAAATAACTGTAATTTTTATTATATTACGAAAAAAATGCTTTGCCCCATTTTGTAATATTCTTTTTATATTATATTTTTTAAAATGACTTCAAACAAGTATATTAAATGTTTTTAGAAAGATTTTTTGATGTTTTAGAATATACAGTACAAAAAATTAAATACGTGTTTGTATTCCTTCATTAATATTTAATAAATAGTTTAAAACATTTATATTGATGTTTGTTATTATTTAATAAAAACACTACTACATCTGATAAACAATTTTATTAACATAAAAAAATCACTGACCTACAATTAACCAAAGATACTTAACATAAACACAGTCTTTTTAATTCTTTAGAACCAGATTCTGAGAAGTTCGTCTTCTCCAATGTAAATCACTAGACTGACCGCTGGAATTCACTATAACACTAGTGTTCTCCGTGTTTGAAGTTGCACAAGAACCACTATCATCTTTAATACTCGTTTCTGTTGATTTATTGTTATTATTATTGTTGTTGTTCTGTTTGAAAAGGTTTGTGTATTGTTCTGGCACTTTAAATTTGATATTTTTGATCATAGCGTGTTTGCGATTTTGAAATGACGTTTCGTAGTGAAAAGGACTGGAATATGGAGGAAGCAAAGAAGGTGTTTGGGGAATGATAATTGGAGGTGGAGGGTTTGGTTTTGGTGAAGGGTTTGGTTTTGCTGGAGGTTGTTCAACGGAGCTGTGGCTGGGTAGAGAAAGAATTTTATGGTAGATTTCTGTAGATATTGTTTCAGTTCTGGTGATCCTAGGTGAGTCGTTAGGTTCCAGCAACTTGTTGGCAATGTCTACGGATTCGGAGAGCGGTAGAGGCTTCGCAATCTGAGCAGGTGGTACGAAGCTGCAGTCTCTACAACATCAAAACCCGATTAGAATTATTCTTAATCCTAAAGCATATATGCTATACTTTCGTGTATGCCACTACAACATAGGTTTTGTAATTTAACTTAAGTTCCAAGATGAATATTATTATGTCTTATCTTTATTTAATCCTTGAACATCAGAATGAATTAAAATATGGTACCATTAATTTATTTGTAGAGATTCAATTTTGGATGGAAAAATCGAAAACGAGGGGAAAAAAAACGAAAAAAATATGACAAAAAATTACAAAAAGAGTCAAAATAGAAAGACTAAAATATACTGTGAAAGACACAAAGGGAGAATAAAAGAGATGAAGAAAGAAAAATTGAAAATAAAAGCAGCATAAAAGATTTACAGAAAAATACAAAAATAGAAAAAAAGAGGTTAAAAGAGATCAAGAAAAGATAAAGACGGGGTAAAAAATACTTTGAAATAAAAGAAAAACAAAGGAAATAAAAAGTACAAAAAGCAATAACAAGAAAAAAGCACAAAATTATGCTAAAAGAAAAATGCAATAAATTGATAGAGGGATGTACCAAACAATTCAAATGCAAAAATAAAGACAGAAATAAAAACATATAAAAAGGACACAAAGGGACCTAAAAACTTAAACAAAACTAAAAAATAGTTAAAAGAAATTCTAAACAAGAGATAAAAATACCAACAAACGTCAAAAAATGAGAAGCAAATGTAACAAGTTAAAATACAAAACAGTCAAGAGAGGCAAAATAAAGAAAAATGTAAAAAATAAAAAAAAACTAATACCTGGGATAAAAAGTGTTCAAAAATATATAAGAAATAAGTGAAAAAAGAAAACAATAAAAGAGATAAACCATTAAAATATAATAAAAAAGTAAAACGTAGACAAATAGAACAATAGAATTAAAAAAAATAGAGTGAAAAACGAATAAAAAAGAAATAAAACAAAGGCATGAAAAAGAGAGAAAAATATTCAGCCTGAGAAAGTAATTAAAATTCATAGAGAGTGGCAAAAAAAGACAAATAGTAAAATAAGAATAGAAAATGTCACAGAAGAGAGCAAAAAACATAAGCAAAAATTAAAGGAAACAAAAAAGTTATGCACGAGGCAAACAACAAAATAATAATAAAAGGGAGAGACAGTAAGGAATGGGTATAAAGAAATAGAAAAATAAAGAGAAAAAGAAGAATGAAGGAAGAAAATATAAGAATGTAACAAAATTCAGGTACCTAAAGAAGAAATAGATTTAGAATACAGAGATAAACAAATAAAAATAAGTAAGAGGACATTTCACTGTTTCAGTGACACCAAAATAGATGAAGTTGTTTTTATTTGTTAGATCTAGGTCAAAATAAAACTCTTTTTTTTCTAGTGATTGATCGGAGTTCCGACAAATATATTATCTTCATGAGAAAGACAATACATAGTAGAGCAAAGAAAGACAAAGCTGTAGTGAGTCTACTAACAGGGCATTGTAAGCTGAATATGCATCTAAAGTTAATGAGATTGACGGACGAAGCCACGTGCAGGAAGCAAATTCTGTCAATTTGAAGAAGAAACGACAGAACATATTTTATGTCAGTGCGACATCCTGGCAAATGTGCGGTTCTCGGTAATAGGCAATGATATGCCATTGACAGAGAACTATATGGAGGGTTTAGTCTCCAAGATGCTAGACTTTTTGAAAAGGATAGGAGTGGAGAACGTAACCTAAGGATTAGAAGAGGCCCACAATAGATCCGAAAAGGCCGCACTGGATCAAGTCAATAGCCACCTCGAAGAATCTAATATAATCAATAAAAAAACTGAATTTTATTTAGACCCAGATCCAACAAATAAAAACAACTTAAATAAGAGAATCCATAATAATTAAGTAAAACTAAAAACAAAAGCGTGTGGTATTACCTCGCAATATTGTAATGGCTCTTGAAAGCCGGCGTCTTAAAGGCGAGCTTGATCGGTCCGTTGATGACGCTGACGCCGGCGCCGCTCGGCCTCCTAGAATCAGTAGATTTAGGTGATTGGGGGCGGGGCGTGGGCGGTCGGCGGCCGCGGCCGTTGTCCAGCAGCGGCGCCGTCGTGATGACGTTAATGGCGTTGGGGTTGTCGACCACGACGGCCGCGCCGGCGCTGCCCTCGGTGGGCGTGGCGCGCCGGCGCACGCGCCGCTCAATTACCTCGGCCGTCTTACCTGGGTGCGAGTTCTTCATGTGCCGGTGCAGGTTGTCCTTGCGCCGGAAGCCCGTCCTGCAGATGCCGCAAGCGTACCCTTTCGTTTCTGCAAAATAGGGATGTTCGATTTAAATCGATCCTTCAGAAAATCGATCTTTTGACATTGGATTCACGATTTTTTGAATGGATTAATCCAAAACCGATTTTTTGTAGAATCGATTCATTTAGACCGAGATCGAATAGTCATGCGACCACCAAATTTTATGCTCAATTTCAGAGGATATCATTAATTATGTAATAAAAAGAAATTAATCTATACTCAACCGGGGTAATCCGCCGAGGTTTCGTGTCAATCGAAAACACCTTTTTTAAATTTACTTTTAGATCGTTGGATGGCGCTCGGTTGCATTTATTATACAATGTTCTCTATTACGCCAGTAAAAGCGCGCTGTGTATTTCTATCCTTTAATAATAATTAGTGTCTGATAGAAGAGGGAAACATACTCAGTGCGAACTGACTATACTAATCCAAAAAACGAAATTACGTTTTTTTTATATTTGTCGTTTGACGACGATTGACATTTTTTGTGAAATACTGAGATCGTTTTTTGTCAATGTAATAATTTTAAATTTTATTTTACTTTATTTTGTTTTATGTTTTGTGTCTTTGTGTGTAAAAAAAAGTCATAAAAAATAGAAATATATATTTTTAATTTATTGCGAAAACGGAAAATCAGAGTCAAAAATTGGATTAAAAAAAAAGATCCATTGTCCTAAGATAGATTTTTAAGCTTGCGATTTTTCTTGTATCGATTCGAGGCCATTCGATCTAGATCTATCCATGGATTATTTTTACAGAATCGCACATCCCTACTGCAAAACCGCACGAAAAACACTAGAGCACTGTAACCCAGTGGCGCGCATATAATGTAGACAAAAAGACGTTGTCTACCACAGACAATATCATGATTTTTTTTTCTCATTTACCAAGTTTTTTGAACTCATTACCAATCCAACAAATATTTGAAATAATCATTTTTATCTTTTTATTTTTAGTTTTGAGATTTTCTTTGGCTTTAGGTCGTTATTTTTTGTGTTAGATTTAAATTGTGCTAATAATATTTAAGAATTTATTTATATATGAACGTTTGAAACCAAGTCTTTTTCAAGTCAAACATATATATTATACGGATATTTTTATTTGAAAAAAAATGCGTTTGTATTGCAAAACTAAAAGTGGCAGGTTTGTTGCAATGTAAGTAAGCGTTTCTCGATTTTATATTTTCATTTTTTCATACCTAGAACGAATATACTATATGTATATTGAAATTTTATAATTCGTTTTATATAAAAAATGTTAGAAAACAAGCCTGTAAGTGACATAATTGTTATGTAATATATTCCATTTAAATGTAATAAGTTACTTTACAATTAAAAAAAATATTAATTTAGTATGCAAACAAACACGAGGTGGCGCTTCATTTACTTTCATTTCTTAACATGACAGATGGAGTTCTTTTTTGCAATCTACCAAAGAATGAAAACCAAATTAAATTACTATAGAAACGCGTATTGATTTTTAGGATATTTTTAGGACAATTCAACTATTTTTTCACGTGTATTTTTTAATTTTCTATAAAACGGTATGAACATTTGGGAAAGTACTGACGGGATTAACCATTTTAGAAAACATTTTTCTGAAGAATGCATTTTTCTCAAAAAGTCAATAAAAAAATCCTCTTGTAAAGACAATCCAGGGTCATACTGTATGTAAAACATTACAAAAATATTTTTATTTGTATCAGTGTGAATTACTAACAATTCCAAAAATTGAAAAAAAATAATTTTGTCTACTACTATGAATATTTCATTAGCTTTCATAAGTCAATCTTAGTAGGTTTTTTAAAAACAATATAGTCTTGTTTTCTACTTACCTGCATGAATTAAGTTATGCCTTTGCAAATCCTTTTGATTGACAAATGACTTGGAACAAATATTGCACTGGTGAGATCTAACTTTCAAATGTGACTTCTTATGCACAGATAATGACCATTTTAGTTTAAATCTCCTTCCACAAGTATCACACATATGAGTTCTTTCACCTACAAAAATATCAAACCTCACAAAATACCATAAAAAAGTGTCACAGTGACCTATCAAATGACAATTCATGATAATTTATGTTAAAATTTGCACAAAACCTTATTGACACACATTTATTTTTTGTTTGTATAATTATAAACAATTGTTTATGTCAATTTTTCATAAATGATAAAATAGGTCTGATAGAAATTATTGTCATCCATTGTCAGTTGAAAAGGTACTGTGCACTAATAAAGTTTAGAAAAAGAAACACTTACTAGTATGGGACACCAAATGCTTTTTTAAATTGGAAGAATTATTAAATTTCGAAGAGCATACATTACAAGTATAGGGTTTCTCGTTCGAATGAATCAAAGAATGTACTCTTAGGGACTCTTTGCTTTTAAATGCTTTGCCACATTCTGGACATGAGTATTTCTTTTCTGATGAGTGCAAAATCATATGCCTCGATAGTTTGGTCTTCTCCAAAAATGATTTTTGACAGATGGAGCAAGAGAATGGTTTTACATCTCCGTGACTGTACATGTGTAGGTTCAATTGAGTCTTGGTTATAAATTCCTTTGAGCATGTTGCACATTTGTACGGCTTAAATTCTATAAAACATTTAAATATACTCTCATGAGATCAGAACTAATATTTAATACTTACCTCCTCCACAAAATTGATGGTACTTCACATGAGATTTAGTTAGGAATGTTTTATTACAAACCGTACAAAAATATGAAATGGGATCAGACTTCACAGTTACATGACTAGGAATAGTTATAGCTCTCTTCTTAGTGATAGTTTTCTCATTTTTTGGTTCATCATTTTTCACCTGATTTATAAGGTTCTCTTTCACATTCCCTATTTCATTTTCACCTTCCCCATTCTCTGTGATTCTATCACAGTTCAATTTTGCTTTGCCATTACATTGAATCACAGCGGTATGGTAATCAGTATTTTGACAAACATCTTGCCTTTCAGTATTATTTCTATTTAATGGTATACATTGTTTACATTGTTCTACATCGTTTAAGAGACAAGAGCGACATTTTTTGTGACCACAAGAGTCTTGCACTAAGCGATTCGAAGGGGTCAAAGCAAACTTCTGACATTGTAAACAAAATGCATCTTTTGATTGCATTATTCCCAAACGTATACTGATAAACTTAAAATTATCACAACCAACAATATTATACTGGAAAATCTTATTGTTTATTTCCACACATCTTCATTTCGTAATATACCTACAGGATTTTTAGCAATTTCACATTAGACTATACATATAACACTACACATTTGAATTTACCTAATTTCAACGATTAGCTAAAGTATCAGAATACAAGATATGTAGATTTAGCCGGCAAAATTAGAAAAATTCACATTTTAAGAAACTTTCAGAAAAAACAATAACAAATAATCCAATAAATATCATATAAATATCTATGCACATATCTATGTCATATGTCATTTGACAAATTTTTGAATAGGGATGGGTTTTCAGTAAGATTGAAAGTATCGATATATCTATAAGAGCGGAAAGGATGTCGACACTGGAAAAATAGGTCGTTTACAGTAAGGTTTACAGTACCCACAGCAGTATTTGAGAAAAAAAGGACATTTAAAATAATAAATAAAAAATGCCAGTTGATCTAAAAATATATCCAAATTCAATGAACGACACACGACACAGTATAATCACAAGATTAAACGAACTTACCTGAAGTGAAGTTCAATCTTGATTATATGAAGGTCTCGTCGAAATAAATAAGTACAATGTAGTTCCCTTTTCTCCGTGCGGCGACCACACATTTTAAAGCCTAAACAAACAAATTTCAACATGCCCCTCGCTTCCCTGCTCCCTTACCTCATTATGAAAAAAAAATCCTTTTGACTGTAGATATGGAGTATTTTTAAAAATTATAGAAAATTGATAGCAAAGATATAGAGTAATATAGGTAAAGATTGTATAGCCATCGTTCACCGTTACGTCATCATTATTTATCAAATATGAGTTTTAGGGTGTCTGATACACAGCTCTGATAGTTCATATTGTTTAGAAAATGTTAGGTACGTTCCTACATTATTGATTAAGCGAGTTCCGTTATTTTTTTCTGCATTTATTCATTTGATTCTTTCAGTAGCAATTTCACAGCTAAATTGTACATTGTACCGATAAAAACATATTTATGTAAATAATTAAGGGCTATATCATATGCTCTTTAATACTATATAAGTTCAAAATTCCAAAAATATTATTTTGATTTTAATAATTTTCTTAAACGATCTTTAATTTTGACATTGATTGAGGTCGGTCAATAAAATTTTAACCCCACATCAAATTATAATGACAATTACTAAAAACAATATGCAGTAAATTCTCTTTCATGTGGTTGTCAAGTAATTGAGAGAGTTTGACAATGTATGACGTAACGTTGAACGATGGCTAAACATTCTATACATTAGATAGAAACAAAAAAGTTTTATTTCAAAATTACTTTATTCCAAAATGGACTCCTCTTATAGCATATACATCTACATCTATATGAATATTGACAACTGACTTGAAATCTATTAAAAATTATCTTAATTTTTATTACACACAATTCTTGAAAGTAATTAACCTGCATATTTTACATAAAATAATAATTTTAACATAAATATTGTTGTATCAAGTCAATTGACAAATTCTAAATTTATATTAGAAGACTAAGCAATTATTATATTATCCTAAAAGTTGTCAAATGTCAATTTTTTAAACAGTTTTTCCAGAAACTATTTATATTAATTAAATTTATTTATAAAATAAAGAATAAAAAAATTGCTTACTCCCTTAATATAAAAAAGATTGTACTTTTATTTTGTTCAATTGTACATACATATTTAAAATATGAAAATATCTGCTATATATCTATATAAAGCTACAGAAAAAAATATATAAAGTGCAATTCAAATTAAAGTTCCAAATTATAAAAAAAGAAAAAAATTATGGATACAAATTGCACATAATATGTATATGAGCAAAAATATAAATGAAGTTATAAAGGAGACTATCAAAAATATAAAAAAAGTCCAGAGAGATCTACCAATAAGGTACAAAAAATATCCTATTCTATATTAAATAAAATATGACTCAATCAACAGAAGAGCAAAGAAAAAGATTAAATATACTTAAACATCAGAAGAAATTCTAAAATGAATTAAATTGATTAATTTTTGAGTCAAGTATAAAAATATTGCTTTACACTGAAATTGAATAAAATATTTTTCTGTTGTTTTTATTATTCTAAGTATATATTGCTTTCCTTCCATGTAATTTTTTGTCACTTGATTAAAAGTGTTTCCACACCATGTATAAACAATCGAAAAATATGGCGTCATAGCTGAACTGTACTAGTCCATGGTCACTTCATCTGCGTGGTCTGTATTTTAATGCATGCGACAGAGATGCGACAGATAATAATCGGTTGACAGATAAATAATCGGTTGACAGATAGAGAGAGGAAATAAAAAGCGGCATACAGTGTTGCCGGTTTTTACGTTTGTAGAAAAATGTGTTTGTAAAAAAATAGAAAAAAATAAACTATTTTAAAAACTTTCATGTATACTAATATATCTAAGCTAAATATAATTTATTACAGCTGTAGTAAAATGAGTAACTAATTGTGAACAATAAAGTTCCAACCCTAGATGCAACATGTTTCATAAACGCCTACTTATGCGATTTGAAGTTTTGGTGCAAAATCCGGCAATACCGCATAGAAGAAATGTATCAACCCAACTTTTAACGCTTTTTAATACATTTGATTTCCCATTAATCTGTCAACATCACTGTCTTACACGTTAAAATCCAGACCCATATATAATTTATTAATTAACCACATACCAATTTCTCAAAAATTAATATTTAAATAGATTTACATATGAATAAAAACTAGATATGGATATCGATTTTTAACAAGCTTTTATGCCAATTTTATTAAATTTGTCAATATAGGCGTTATTGCCATTCCACTAAAACGCCATTTTTTCCGGTTGTAAGTCCTAAAGAAACTCTATGAGACTGTGTAAAATTCTATCAAAATTTTATATACATTTTTTAGTGACAAATCTACATAAAAAATATATAGCAATTCATAAAAAACCTTATTTTAATTTTCCCAAACTTATTTATGTGTCACACTGTATGTTAGTTAAAAATATGAAAAAAACATATTATGAAAACGAATAAAAATGAAATGTACTAAATTAATAAAAAATATTATTTGAACTTTACCAGATTTATATATAGGTACTGTATATCCCATATCAAAACGACTTCAACATACAGGGTATTTCATAAGTAAGGCAAAATATGGGATAATTTCTCAATCATTTTTCAACCAACAAATATCAATTTTCGATATTTTATCATCCAACCTCATTTTTTGGAGATTTAAGATTTTTGTAAATTGACGTCATGACAGTTACATATGTCAAAATTATATTTTCATTAAAGAACATGCCCAGGTGCTTAAATTTCTTCTAAAACCGAATGATACATTTTCCCCATTTGTTGTGAACTTTTTGACACACACAGTATATTTCTATAATCATTATTTTCTTAAAATGGTTTGAGGAAATATCTCACTTAGGAATCACCCTGTATATTAATCTTTTTTTCTAAATTACGGCACATTTCCTAATATTAAATAGAATTAATATTTTTTTTTTAAATTCTTGTTTATAAAACAAGATCAAAAATTTTGAAAAATGAAAATATCCAAAATACTGTACATCAACATACACAAATTATTTCTCAAATATCTCCTAAAAATATCGTAATCGAAAAAGAAAACGGCGTCATAGTAGCCCTAGAAAAATAATCAATAATTTCTGACAGGCAGACCCCTCTATGTCATTTATTAGAAACTGTTCAAAAACATGTCTGAAATTGATATTTAATTTAGGAAAAAGTAAAAAGTTTACAGACACAAACTCGGTTTCAAAACAATCATTCAAAAGCCAATATGACGCCGTTTTTTCGATCATATGTTATTCTCTAACAAATTCGTTATCTCAATTTCTTTAAAATCCTTTCGTTTTATACGGATAACGATTTTTTTTTGATAAATATTGTCTAGAAAATTTTAGGTATGAGATGGTACCTAACCTTATTACAGTACCTATCCCAAGCTGTACCATATCTCTGTTTGCAATGTCTGCTGTCTCTCAGGGTTCGGTAGATCAAAAACAGGACTTTTATAAAGACGAAAATAAGCAATGGGGTATTCAAAATGAAAGGAATTACTGATAGCTCGATAAGGATGTGTCCCAGGTAGTTTGGATGCCTCACAAGACCCCAAAAACCAGAACAGAGCAGTTTTTTGCCTTGGGTGGTCGGTAGAGTCTCCAAATCTGAAAGGAAAATAAATATTTGTATAAGGATAATTCATGAAATAAAAAGAATAAAGCAATCAAGTACTATTTTTATTTTTAGGAAACCAATGAATTGTGAAACTTGTTTAGATTTTTCTTAGCTGTTTCAATAGCGTATCTGTATTTTTATAAATAATTATATAAACTTATATTTTTCGTATTAGAAATAAACGTTTATTGGAACCCTACTACAAGTTAGTTAGATTGAAAACACTTCGCGATCTCCTCAAATTTATCAATATACTTCTCCTTAGTCTTTTTATTAATGCTCTGAAGCCGAAACTTAATAAAAACCACAATTTTAACTACTCTAAGGTATAAACAGGATTTTCTTGAAAACTATTCTATTTGTTGCTCTGAGGGCTAAATTATACTTACTCGAAAATGAAGGACTGTATGGATTCTTCCTGAAAGCGTCTTTCTGGTTGTTACTGCCTCGATAGATGATGTATCCCAGAAGAAACAGGGCCGTAACCAGTCCCAATTCCCAATAAGACAATTTAATATTATGATCCAATACGTATTTTGTCACGAAAGAATTAATGAAAGGCAAAGTCAGGTAGGTTACTGCCATATAGTAACCAAAAGCTGTAAAAAATTACATGACAATTATTAAAAAATGTCTATACCTATGTGGCGGATTCATCTCTCCAAAAAATCCTATATGGGTATTTCGCCACTGCAAGAAAATCTACAAAATAAAATAGTTATTTTTTGTAAACACTTTTGCGTTAATTCAAACAGAAACTACTTGTCAGAAGTTAGGTTTACAGATATACAAATTTGCCTAACGAATAAAAAAATGTTAACGTTTCGGAAAACTCCAAACCAAACCAAAAGAACGTCAACAGTTTTTGAAGACGCATCTGTTTTAAAAAACCAAAGTGTTCTCGAATAGTTGAATTTAAATATTTTAAATAGTTTTTTTTTTATTCTTTGTATTTTTTTTGGTTCCGACGACGCACACTGGGGCAGAATTGGTAATTTATATACAATAAGTATTAAAAACTAAATCTTCCTAATTCGGGTGAAATTAATGTATTGTTGTAGGCTATATGCCGCTGAATATTATATAATAATATAGGCGCTGAATCCACAGTGGTTGCTTAGAAATAGCCTTTGTTTTTGCGTATCAACTAAAATTCTTTCGATTTTCTTGAGCCGGTCTTTCAATTTATTCCTATTTTATATTTGATTTTCTAATAATAAGTTTATATTTATTTTAATAGCGACATTGTTATTCGCTCGCATCGGGTAAGTAAATTAATATTCCTCTGGTTTTGATCTATATTACGCGATTATTCGAAGACACAAGAAAGTTGAAATAATGTAAGCCAAAAATTTGCGTACACTTAATTAAATTTGAAAATCACAAAGTAGGTAGTTTAGTTATGAATCTTCGTACATCCGCCTGATTTTGACATACATTATTTTTCATCCATTCAAACAATTTAATATTATAACGAAAATTTTTGCCCGTTCTTGCCCCATTGTAAATTATTTCAAGTTTAATGAGCCTATGAATAGTCGAAAAATCATAATTTATCGCTAAATTTATTCTCGCTAAGTTTTCTTCGGCGAGTATTGACATATATTACGGACGAATAGAAAAGTTGCACACAAGGCGTGTGGTGATGGGTGTAGTATTGTATATGCGCATTACTATATTTCTGCAACAAAATTTACGTACTAAACTTTACCTACGACCACAAATAATGCAAAAACATTTTCGTTATTAAAGTTTTTTAAATGTTTGGTATGGTTTGGTACGTATATAACAGGGTGGCACCTCTCATACATACTACTCATACTACACGGAAGCTCAAAGAAAAATGTCTGGATGAATGTTTACATTGAAATGCAATTTTGTAAGCAAATGTAAGTCAATTTAGAGCATTTTTTAAAAATATAAAGAGTTCTACAAGGTGTCCCCAAAAAAAGTTACACATTAAAGTTGTATTTTTTGTAACGGAACACCCTATACAGGGTGTCCCAGAAATATGTGCAAGTATTTTAAGGGGTGGTAGATCTCGATAAAAGAAACATATTTTCTCTTTATCATTTTTCAAATAAGTCTAAAATAACCGAGTTATTTTACTTTGAAAATTTGAAAAAAATATATTTTGCTAAAATTTTGAGAACCACTGGATCTTTTCTGGATTTTCTTTCGTGTAAATTTAATCTAGTACCTATGTTGCTAAATTATCAAAAAAAAAATTCCAAAAATTCCGAATTTTCATTTTTTTTTTCGCGAAAAAAAACTCATAGGCATGTTTCTGGGGTTGAACCATAGACTTAAAATAAAATATAGACTGAGCATCTCATTCATAAATAGCTGGAACATGCGGTCAGACAATGTCTTGTTATTGTTGTGTGATTGAAGTGTTATTGTTTTAGGTTATAACGAGTGCGACACGAGCGATAGATAGGTTGTCTCTGTCGTAACGGTCGTTTCCTGACGACTCTGCCGAGAAACACAACACTGTCTTTCGTTTCTCAAGTACACCTGAACTCTCCGTATCATAGCCGGGTAATTTCTTTATTTTAATGAAGCTATAATTAAATTAAAAATATATCGTATTTAAACGTTTTTATATTTTATTAAGATTGAGAACAGGTTTTTTAAATAAAAGTTTAGAAAAAACGTCTTAGAGTCCAAAAAGGATAAAAATAATAAAATACACGTTATAGAAGAAATTTTATAATCGAAATTACGTAATTTTTGAAATTAATAATAAATTATTAATTTTAGTCAAACATTTACAACTCCTAATATTAATCAAAACAGGATCTATTCCACAGATATAATAGAATCGGCGACAGGGAGAGGAAAAAAAAATGATTGTTGTAATTTTTTTTCTGGTTAAGTGATGTCTTATTATGTAAATTAGAGAAAACATAAATCTGTTCCATTAAAGCAAGGCAGGTGATAGGAAGTGGATAAAATGAAAACTACATTTATTTAACTCGGTACCGTCTTTATTATACCGGGTGCGTCCCAAAAGTGGCTCATCCCCCATAATTTGTTTATATTTTCAAATAAAAAAACAAGATTTAGTATGTTAGTATATGACATAAATTAGGATTGATTGACGCATTCAATTGTTTTTGGTCACTTCCTGTTTCCCCGGAAATGACTATAACTTTTAATTTTTATACGGCACCCTCGATATATTTCTACTTTATTCGATAGAAAATGACACTCTGAATAGAATGACATATTATATGTCAACTTTTGACATTTTCGCATATGGTTTAATTGTAATTGTAACACGCGGTTCATAACGACAATTTGGCTCGAAATACCAAGTGTGTGGTATCAATATATTCATAAGAAAATGCTTTTTTCAAATATGCTAATGAGTCACCCTTGTTCCATTTGAAAAAATTGATATATGTATGATTAAAAATACGATTTGTATATCTTTTAACCTGCCTAGACAAGACACGAAACCCATTAGATGATCAAAACTATTTTTCCAAGGCTCCTTGATTAAAACTTAGTGTTTTTAACAACACCATGGCACCCTGGATTGAAATTTAAAATACGATTTGTTTTTAAGCGACAATGTCAAAAGTTGACATATGATATGTCATTCTATTCAGAGTGTCATTTTTTATCGAATAAAGTAGCAATATACCGAGGGTGCCTTTAAAAATCAAAAGATGTAATCATTTCGGTGAAACAGGAAGAGACCAAAAACAATTGAATACGTCAATAAATCCTAATTTATGTTATAAATCCTAATTTTTATTATACCTACTAACATACAAATCTGTTTTTTTATATGAAAAAATAAAAAAGTTATAGGGGGTGAGCCACTTTTGAGACGACCCGGTATATTAAAAAATATTGTTTCATAATGTAATATCATTTTAAAATTCTTATATGTTATTTTAGATTCTGAAGATAATTTTAGAATAAACCGGAATATATTTTTAATAAAAACATTATTAAGTATTAACAAGGTTATAATTAGGATTTTGTTACAAAAACCTTTATATAAATGATTATGTAAGAGAAAAAAATCAGATTTTACATTTTACTAAAATATTATCTAAATAAGCGCCTTTCTACAACAACGCCACTGACTCCCAATGGGTAAATTGAGAGTTGCCTACCGGTCGAAAGTCGTTTCAAGACTTAAATGGATTATTTAAGTCAAATTTCTTGCAAATTTGGCACTGGCGAACCATATTTTATAGTTCTTGAACAGAAAAAGTAAATAAAATAAACACTTAAGGACTACAAGCTAAGAAAATGCGTTAATACAACCGGGGAGATAGCGGCAACAAAGCTTTACCGCACACATGCGACACGTACTACAAGGTAATAAATGAATGAACAGGCAACCTCGCCTTTAATCGGTGTTGCCATATTGTAAAGAACTTATCCTTTTCAAATAGTGTCCAACTTATAATTTAGTAGTATAAGGACTATTTAATACATCTATCGAATATTAAAACCTACTTTATAAAAATGTAGTATTAATATCTCAATATATGTGTATAATAAGAAAAAAATATTGATAATATTAAAGAGGTGACAACATAGGCTGGATGAGGAAGGCTCGGTCGACTGTACCCAGAAGTAAACATGTGTACAAAAAGATTGTTTGACTGCGTTAAGATGTAAATAGTGTAGTCTATATTTTATTTTAAGTCTATGGGTTGAACTATACTACCAGTTATAATACTTGCATTTATTTGTGGGACACCCTGTATATTAATTGATTTTCGGATTCTAGAAAGAAATAAAGGTGAGTTTCATTAGAGAAGCACAAGACTAAAATGTAAAGTTTTTGATATATTTAACATTTTCTAAAAATAAAGACCGTTGTAAACTTTCGAAAAATGAAGTGATGTTTTTTTGTTTACCCGTCCTGTACAATAGTTATACAGCTAAGCAATAGCCATTTTTTGATAAAAGTCACTTTATAACCTGCTGAAATTAAAGTAATAAAAATATCTAAACTTTCGAAAAATAAAGTAATTTTTTTGTTGGTCCACCCTGTATAATAGTCATACCGCTAAGCAATAACCATTTTTCGATAAAAGTCACTTTATAACATGTTAATTATTCGTAAAATATATGTGCACTATCACTGAAACTTTTTCGACATATTTAGTTAATCCTGCCCCACTGTGCGACGGAAGGAGATATACTTTCCGACACGCATTTTTATATTCGTTAGGCAAATTTGTATATCTGTAAACCTAACTTCTGACAAGTAGTTTCCGTTTGGATTAACGCAGAAGTTTTACAAAAAATGACTATTTTATTTTCTAGATTTTCTTGCAGTGGCAAAATACCCATATAGGATTTTTTGGAGAGATGACAATTATTACTTAATAAAAATTGGCGTGCATATCTACAAAGACATTAAAACTATAACCAAAACTGAATTTCTAAAAATTCGTTTAAAACTTAAAGCGCACTTTTTTATAATCATACAACCTGATTAGATAGATTTTTTATAATCATACATCCTGATAATTTTTTATAATCATACATCCTGATGAAGATTAAAAAAAACAGTCGCATCAAGTAAACGAATTGGGTGCTTGGAAAATAAGGCTTTATGTTGGTAGTCATGGCAAATGTTGCTGGTTGTCACGAATTAATTATTTTATTAATTTTTTCTAATCTGGCATTTGTCGTTTTCAATTTCATTGACAAATTTAAAATTAAATCTGCGTTTTGTTCAGTTAGAACTGCGATTTTCAGTCCAATAAAATGCTAAAACCATTATACATGTAAACCATGTATAGTGGGAATCCCGAATCAGCAACTTGTCTCGTCTCTCCTCAAATTATTTTGAACAGGAAAGAGACTGGGGCTTTTGCCCTTTTTTTCAATAATAAACGCCGCGTGACGGGCTGAACATATATTGAAGAGCTTACTTTAGTATAGTACTAAAGTAAGCTCTTCTGTTGTTCTCTCTCGCGAATTGTAGAATGGCGAAGATGTCTGCCTGGAATAAGGTTTTGCCCTTACGAGAGATAGAAATTGATATTGTTGATTAAATTTTGCAGCTTTTTATATAAGCCGCGCTTTATATCAGTTTACGGACTGTGAGGAGAATCTCACAAAAAGTTGAGACTAATATTAACCAACTAATCATCACTTTGCATTTCTCAGCTTTGTCAAAACTTGCTATAACTTCATTTAATTATAATTTGTTTGTGCGATAATCATAAACAAAGTAATAAGTAAAAAGTCAAAAGTCAAAGTAAAAAAGTAGCCGTGGCAACGTTGCGACGTCCATTCGTCAAATATTTTGATGGCGTGCGCGCCAACTTTTCTTATTTTCCTATATTTCTGTATTCAATTAATTCCCCCTCTATGTAGATATTTTTGGATAAAGAAATTTGGAAATAAAAAAACAACTTACCTTCTTGTTGAACTTCTTTTGATGTGATCCTCGTATATTCAAAAATAAGCCAGTCAAAAGTAAATATAGTAGCCAGGGCTAAGAAAACTATGTTTGTAGGAGTCAGATGATTTAGATTGATATTGAATGCTTTTTCTGATATGTTAAGATGGACGTGAAGTTTATTGTACACAAGAGCCAAGTCGATCAGCAGCTGAAAGAGAAATTCAGTATTTTACAGGATGTTTACAGTACAAAAAGTTGTCTACGCAACAAATGGTAATTTTTGGCACATCCTGTATATTACTAGACTTACTACTAGGATTATGGTGGCGTATAAAGTGTATTCCAGGCTGAGCGTGCATTAAAAGTTTCTAGAGACATCTAGATCGGAGATTTTTTGCACATCATTGTTTCACAATGAGATCTATCGATTAAAAATATTTTCAATATGACGGCACTTCCGGAAGTACCGGAAGTTGACAGCAACTTTCTTATTTTAAATAGATACCCCCATTTTTTATTGCATACTTAAATTCTCTGTAAAATTTTATGAATTTTGATATCAAACACTCTATACCTAACATTAACCGTTTTTGAGAAAAAAAAAATATTTAAAATTTTTGGACAAAAAAACTGCCTGTCACAAATATGTGTATAGCCTAAACCTCAAATTTAGTTATTACCACAGCCACTGTGCCATAAGAGAAGACATGTGGCTATAGTCTGTCCAACGAGAAGATCCTTGACAGTGATAGATGTGTCTGTCATTTTAATTTCAAAGTAGTTTATTTTATTTTACAAAGAAATAAGTTGGTACAACTGGAACGCATAGCAGGAAATATTTAAAATTTGATTGACAAGATGACAAGTGATTACTTCAAAATATTGTGAAAAAAACTGTATAAAACTGAAAAAAATGTAATCGAGTTATTTTATTTAATAAAAACGGTATGTGTTAATACAAAACAAACAAGAACAAGACACTACATACCAAAAAAATATGAAAAAGAACTATTATTTACTTTCAAGTTTTATGAAACTACCCGCATTTATGATTATATTTATCAATATAACTTATGTACAAATACAAATTTGTAATATTCCACAGGAATAAATAAAACAACATAGGTAAATAAAACAAACTATTTTATTAATAATAACACCTACCAAATTTTATACCTTAAAGGTTGATTAATTAACTGTAATCTTAATTTTTTTAAACCAGTACCTTTTGACATTATATTTCTGCAGTACTAAAATCCATTATTTACCTATCGTATGATGTCGATATTTTACAGCTACTCCAGTTTTTAGTATGTGTTTAGTTTGATCCTTCTACCATATACGAGATGCACTTATCTACGACGAAATGGTATACAAACTTCATCGATGGCAACTTTCTGCCTGGGCAGCGAGTATTAACCATAAACTGTGCTCTGGGTCTACAGTTAATTTTCACTCGATTTTTCCTCCACTTGACTTCAAAAGATACAAAACACACGTAATAATACGAATCAAAATGCATCATCTTTCAAAACGCAGGGTATTTAACAAAAGTTGACACAAAATTATAACCTATAATTTGGCAAGACTTTGACAAGCGTCAAAAATGACAAAAATCTAAGGGCGAGTTCATACGCATCGGCGTCCGTTTGTCGTTCATCGTTCCGTCAAACCAATAAAATTGAAATACGATCTGTCATTTTTTAAATAAACCAATAAAACTGGTTAAAAACAACAAGACACGACGCATGACGGATTTATATTTAAACCCATCCATAGATAACTTAATGTTTGAATGTCACATAATAATGACAGCAGCTGTCATGGAATTGAGCAATTAAAAAATTATCATAAATCATTTTTGACAAATGGAAACCCACCTTTTTTATTTCAGTAGTGAAAATGCTTTTCAATTCGTTACTTTTTGAATACATGTTCCTATACCTAAAATAAATTGTTTTTAAGTTGTTTAAGATATAGTTTTAAAGCGTATATTTTTCTTTATTTCAACTAGTAGCCTATGACTCTAAACGTCAAGTGATGTAAAACAATAGATCTGGCCATGTCATATTGTGACACTTAGTTCAAAAAGTATAGATCACATAGTTCACAAAAGTATATTATCGATCATCATTTCCAAGCCAACTTTGCGCTGTTTTTTTTTTCGTTCATACGGTATTTTTAATAATAACGTATGATCGAAAAAAAAACCGCGCCAGCGATGGCTATGAAATGAAGATCGCTGTCAATTTATATGACAGCGATAAAATGATATAGGGAATGTCATTGATGTTTATTTCCAAGCCAACTGGACGCCGTTTTTTTACGATCATACGGTATCAACTATTAGATATCAAGAAAGAGCGAAAATACGAGATATATTTTTATAAATACACTTTTAAATTCTTAAGAAGGCAGTATTTATCATATAGGAAATTCAAATAATGTTTTCTGACAGATGGAAATAAATTGTCTGACTGTTTGAGACTTAATGTCAAAGGAAGCTAGATAAAACCAAGAAAAATATACGTTTTCAAACAAAATCTTAAATAACTTAAAAACGATTTATTTTAGGTATATGAACATGTATACTCAAAAAGTATCAAATTGGAATCACTAGTGAAATAAAAAAGTGGGTTTCCACTTGAAAAAAAATGATTTATAATAATTTTTTAATCGCTCAATTCCATGACAGCTACCGCCATTATTATAAGACATTTGAACAATTTAATTTTTGAAATAGATAGCCACGGGTCTTCTCTTTGCTGTGGTTATCACTAAATTTGACTTTTAGGCTATACAAATTTTTTTGACAGGTAGTTTTTTTCGTCCAAAAATTTTAAATATTTTTTTTTTTCTCAAAAACGGTTAATGTTAGGTATAGAGTGTTTAACATAGAATTTTACAGAGAATTTAAGTATGTAATAAAAAATGGGGGCACCCATTTAAAATAAGAAGGTTGCTGTCAACTTACGGTATTTCCGGAAGTGCCGCCATATTGAAAATATTTTTAATCGATAGATCTCGTTATAAAACAATAATGTGCAAAAAATCTCCGATCTAGATATTATGGTTCTCTAGAAACTTCTAATGCACGCTCAGCCTGGGACACCCGGTATTTAATTATTTTTATGACATTAATTTTTCAAATAATTTCTAATTTGTTGAAAAATTTCCAACATATTAACGCTAACATATTGAGCTATACAGAAGAGGCAGTAAGCGTCGGCACCTTTAAAGTGTCAACATTTTCTGACCCAAAAGTTGCATATTTTCACAACCAAACCCCAAATTTGAATAATCCAATCCAATGTCCGTTTTTTACTTTTAAAAATATACAGTATGTCCCCGGATTGTCTTTAGAGAGGAATTTTTAGAGGAAATTTTTTTTTATTATTGACATTATGAGAAAATTAAATTCTCCATAAAAAAAATTGCTCGTTCTAAAATGGTTAATCCTGTTTATACTTTTCCAAATTTTCATACCATTTTAGAGAGAATTAAAAAAAAACATGAAAATATGGTTGAATTTTCCTGAAAATCAAAACGCGTTTCTGCGGTAATATAATTTCGATTTCATTCTTTGATAGATTATTTTAACCATCAACTAATAAAAATTTGAAAGAAAAAAAAAATGATAAATAAGAATCACTTAAAATTTGCCCATGTTACTTCTGTTTATATATGATAATTCTGTCATAATACTATGAAATACTATCACTTACCTTGGTCAGCACTGCACTCCGGATTACAAACAGCTTCCAATCAAGTCCCCAAATCCTTGGATGCAGCTCCCTACCCACAAAAAAATTGTAAATCCTTCCCTTGTTCACAATGTTTGGATTCAAAGCACTGACAGATACGTAGAAGCTTCGTACATAAGCCAGAATGCTTAGAGAAATTCCAACAACCAAAGCAGAAAGATACAAGTAAATGTAATTATTTAGGACAAATTTGATGGCAGAAATTTGCTGAGTTTCCAGAATTAGTGTCAGAGAAATTAACAGAGCTGCACTGAGCAAGCCATTCATTCTGTAATTTCGTTTTTCCTGTTTGTCGGGTAGGTTGGAAACTTTTCTTCCCCACGGTAGAATAGAAAGTAGAATTAGTAATGCAAAGTAAGAGCTATAACCTAAAAATGATGGCAAGAAGTTCAAAAATACCAAGGGGATTGACTTGAAGCTCGAGAATGATGATTTTAAAGTACAAGAATCTTTAGAACACTGTGTTAGAAGCAAAAATACGAAAGTAGGTATGGATATTATGAGCGAAAGGACTCCCAGAATGCCGAGGAAATTAAAATTGATCTTACTGGCAGCACGCTGAGTTTGTTGTTTGGGTTTTTCTTCCTCGTCAGAAAATTCTGACATTTTGTTAGCAAAATTTTCAAAGTTCTTTAAATGTATGATCCGGTCAACTTCACGGTTTTGAGATCTGGTTACTCTTTTTAGAATTGATGAGGTTGATGATTCAACTGATATTTCTCGTTTAAGATTATCCTGAAATACAAATATATCAAAATAGGTAATATATAAAAAAAAATTTAAAAGAATAAAATTTTAAAGTTAAAAATACACGAGTAACTTTTCTTGTAATTTCAACTGTAAAAATTATTTAGAATGAGAGCCAAAATAAAATATATTGTACCTGTAATTTATTCACCAAATCATTTTTCGGTTTTGATCTAGACAAACTTCTCCTTCCACGATCATCATCAGACTCCAACGTTGTTTCAATTTCAAACACCCTTGGTTTTCTAACAATTAGTGGAACATCATCTTAAAAAAAATATTTTTTTTAGTTTCAACCCTGATATTCTTACAGAAAGTTACCTTTATTTTCATCATCGGATAAATCCAACTTAGGTACTGTCCTCTTAATTGGGCTTCTTCTGGTTGGAGTAACTTTTCCTGACCTCTGCACAGGCTTGGCCACAGGCAATTCACTTTTTCTACGAGATGGAGATCGATCTTTTACCTCTGTCGCATTTTTCTTAGGCCTTCCTGGACTGCGTGCCCTACCTCCTTCAGGAGTTTTAGGTCTGCCTGGACTTCTAGTCCTTGCAGGCGATGGCTTTCTCGCCGGGGACTTAGTCCTTGCCGGAGAAGACTTCCTTTCTGGTTCAGCTTTCTTTGGAGCATCTTTAGATGGCTTCTCTGCAGCCAGTTTGGCGTTTGCTCTTTTTGTAAGTACCATTCTAAAAAACGAGGTTATACATCAAAAATGCTGGCGCCAAAATGTTTATCACCCAAAATAAACAAATAACAAGGTATTTGTTTATTGTAAATAGTTAAATTTTCGAAATGTGACATATTACGAATAACTATCACTTGAACAATCACTCACATGTAAAAGAAACTCGTTTAATTAGTAAACAATGAGTTCATTATCTTCTTACAACGAAGTAGGGCAATTTCACCGATTTTTCACTCAATTTCTGATTAAAAAATCACTCCAAAAAACTGGTTACGTTTGAAAAATTATGAAAACGTAAACAAATAGGAATAAGTTCAGTTATGACGCCAAGCACAATAAAGAGAAGCGGCGTCTCTTTAATTGTTATGAAAATATGGCAACGTCGTTTTGATTAAAAAATTGCTCTAGCGGCGGCGTCGGTCACGACTATTTAAAAAATGTAAAGCGCCATATTTAAAATATATACTAAGGTATTATTTTAAATCAAATTTTTTCCTCTAAGTTTTCTAAATTATTTTGCATTTCGTAACAATAAATATACTTAGCGATAACACTGAAATCTACGTAAAACATCTTATTGATTTTTGAATTTTATGAAAATCTTGAATTTTTTTAACCACGTGTTAACACAAAAAAATATCTCAAACCTAAAAGAAAATTGTAAAAACTATTCTGTATAGAAATGTGAAACTGTAATCGTTATAAGTTATTAAAAATGTTTATTAGTTAGTAATTGAAATATAATAATTAAGCAAAAATATATAATTCTAAAAGAGGTACCTTATTTAGCTTTTTCAGTTGAAACAATAAGAATTGACACAGAGTTTTTTATATAATTTGAATATTTTTAACTTTGTCTAGTCCTTGTACTATTTTAAAATTTAGGTAGGTATGAAGCGCTAATTATGAAGTAATATTTTGGAAAATAGTCTATTTAAAGATAATGAAAACAACCTAGATAAGATAGTAAAAATATATTAGAAAAAAAATATATTTTAATGTTATTTGCTAATAGTACTTATTGTATATTATGTTGTTCTAATCCTTAAGTTACAAAAGAATCTTTACAATATAAAATTATTACAAACATTTTCTTTTGTATTTCTGGTTGCCTAATAGTGCCTAATGAAAATACGAGGGGTATATGAAATGAATTAATTTAATACAATATTATTTTAGGGGAATAAAACACTGAATTTTAGATTCATTATTTTTGATATATTTATTTTAAAAAATAATGCCCTAAATAACGTAAAAATGAGTATTTAATAAATAAATAACATTGCTATTACTATAAAATGACATTTTACACAATTTTTGTTTCTCTATAATTCTAATCTAATACATAAATATTATATTCGATGTTTGTGGTTTCATTTTGCAAGTATTGTTTGATTTTCAAGTTATTATAGTACAATAAAATGAGTTTAATTCATTTTCAACTGGCAGTATATGACAAACAATTTTTTTTCTTGTAATACGATCAGTCTTAAGGAACATTTTTTTTTCAAACAGAAGATTCGCCGATAACTGTAATAACTCTACTAGGAAAATCCTTCCATTTTGAATGCCTGTTTTCCAGATTTTTCAATATACTAATTTCATCCTCCCTCAATTCAGTGGCGCATGTCGATAATCTAGGTTTCTGCAAGGATAATCTACAAATAAATATGTCTTTATTAACACAAGATGTTTTTAAAATTGTACAAAATAGAATTAATTTGTCAAAAATAGATCGTTTAAAATACCGGACGTTGAAAATTTTCAAAAAGAGGTTGATTATTTTAGCAGCAGACCCATGAAGTCATTTAAATAAAATTTGGTATACACTTGAGGCTACCATATTTATTGATAACATCCCGACCCATGAGCAACCAGTGCCGCAGTTATAGTACTGTCAAAAATCAATGAATATTTCTTAAAAACTTTAACACTATATGTAAATTTAAAACCAACTATTTTTTGACTATATGTTGATATGAGTTTTTTTCTTCAAATAAGATTTGGACTATTAAAATTTGACTTCTAAAAAGTGGACCACTCCGTTTATATTTTTTTGGACGAACTGTATAATAAGGATAATATAGATATTAATTTTAAGTTACCTTCTAGACTTTTTATCAATGGTCAATGGCATTTCAGCTATCAAGTTGTTCTCAAACTCGCTAAGCATTAAGTAATTCTCCACTTTGTTGCAAGACGTGATGCAGTCTCCAATGTAGTCAAGGTCATCAAGGATATTATCGGGCAAGTCCATGTCAGCTATACCTGTAACAAGAAAATCTTACAAAACTTTACATATCGAACAAACAAATTTCAAAGATCTTATAGTAGATTTTTGGAAATTTTCTAAACTTTTTTGAGTGTTTGTGATTCTTAATTAAAGCAAATAATAGTTTAACTGAAAAAAAGTTATACATTTTGAAGGTTTATTTAAAATTTTGTGTGTTTTAAAAAAGTATGATGGCTGCAAGTTATTCGAATTTTTGCAGAATATCTCTCGTGTACTAAGATAATGCACCCAAGTTTCGCTTCCATATAATATGGTGGAGATTATTATTGCTCCCTACACTGTAAATTTCGTTTATGTGCTCGAAAAAACTCTGTCTTTTAATTAACCAGAATGCTTTTAAAACGGTGCTTATTCTGTGCTATATTTCAGAATCCATATTGGCCTTTTCGGAAATTAAACTACCGAGGTAATTTAGTACCGCTACATATTCCATTAGTTCTTCATTTTAATTTTATCGGTGTTCAGCCTCATTTCCTAAAGCCTTGTAAGCCCAGGTATAAGATTTCAGCATTTCTTGTAATTGCTATAACGTTTTTGCAACTAGAGCACAGTCATCATCGTATTGAAGTTCTGTGGTGAATTTATACGTGTTTTTTTATGTTGAATAGATCCCCGTCGTATCATGGTCGTATGCCCATTGCCCTTTCATACAGTTTGCTGTCCACTATAATAGAGAGCGCTGCTATGAATATGATGGAGAGGCGCTAAGGCACATTCCTTCCTAACTTGTATATTTGTCAGGAAGGTACGATAGGGAGACGGGAGACGCGATATCCACAAAGCTGGTTACAGCAATACTAGAAGAAATCTTCCGTCAACTGGACTGGGCCAAAAAAGGATTAAAAATAGATGGAGAAATCTTAACCATCTAAGATTCGCTGATAACATAGTCCTAGTTGCCAATAGTCCTGAAGAACTACAAGTACAAATTAAACTAAACACAGCCAGCAATAAAGTGGGTCTCAAAATTAATTTAGCAAAAACTAAAGTAATGTACAGGGTATCTCATTTTTTGAAATCATACGGTATCTCGGTTATTAGTAAAGATATGAGGATGCGGTTTGCACAAACCTGTCCCACTTTTTTGTCAAACGAAAGATGCTGTAAACAAAATTTTCATAGCCCTCTTCGTTTCTGAGCTACAGGGTCTTTTCGAAAATGTTGCAATTTGGAACAGCCGCCGTATCTCCGTTATCGTGGATGATATCGAGAAGGTGAAAACTGATTCTTATAGAACGTTTTACGTAGAATACAGTGGCGTAGTATGTTTTTCTACGGAAAAAATATTTTTGAAAATATGAACTAAAGTTATGTTTTTTTCAAATGGAACACCCTGTATATTTATAAATCATATGATCCGTCTTGCTATGAGCTTCTCAAAAATATATATCACTCTATATTTATTTTCATTATTTACTTCAATATTTAAAATATATCATTTTTTTATTAGTAGGCCGTGATAAATAACATAAAAATCAAAATGGTATTTACTAAAATAGTCATACACACATTAAAATTTTATTTGGGATTGATATATTTTACTTTTGAACTGTTACCACTGCATCTCTGAATATATTTTTCTTTCTTTATAACGGGATGGTTTTTTTATAGGTGTTGTAGACATTGTTGTAGTTGCCACGAAATATTTCATATTTTCAAAATCAGAAATCGAGAACGGACAAATCCGGGAATCAGGAAGGCCATTATATGGGCCAATTGGTTCCAATTCATTGATTTGAGAAATAATAATTTAACAAATTTCTAATATTTTCAAAGTTGTTAGGGAAAGCCCCATCTTGCTGAAAGTATATTTCACGTAAATTAGCTAAAGCAATATCTAAAAGTTTCAGTACGATAACTTCTAAGATTTACAAATAGCGGTAGAGAGTTAAGTTTTCCTCTAATATATGAAAAAATTATTAGTGGCCCCTAAAATAAAACAAGAGACGTATATTGTTAATAATACTTTAATTTTCTTTTATTATCAATCATGGCCTACTAATAAATATGATCTTTTAATAAAAACTTTTAAATATTGCAGTAAATAGTGAAAATAAATATAGAGTGATATATATTTTGAGAAGCTTATGGCAAGCCAAATCATATAATTGATAAATATACGGGGTGTTCCATTTAGGAAAACATAACTTTAGTTCATATCTTAGAAAATATTATTTTCGTAGAATAACAGACTACGCCACTATATTCTCCGTAAAAAGTTCTACAATAAACAGTTTTTACGTTCTCGATACCTTTCGCAATAACAGAGATACGGGGGGTGTCCCAAATTGCAAAATTTTCAAAAAGACCCTGTAGCTCAGAAACAAAGAGGGCTATGAAAATTTTGTATACAGCATCTTTCGTTTGACAAAAAAGTGGGAAAGGTTTGTGCAAACCGCATCTTTCTACCGTATGATCGAATAAAAACGGCGTCAACGATGGCTATGAAATCTCGATCGCTGTCATTTTATATGTAAAATTATATGGGAAATGTCATCGATCGTCATTTCCTAGCCAACTGGACGCCGTTTTTTTTCGATCATACGGTATCTTCACTAATAGCGGAGATACCGTATGATTTCAACCAAAATGGGACACCCTGTACAATGAATAGTGGAAAGAAAAGACATTCTACTAAATAACACAACACTGGAAATAGTAGAAGAATATATATATATATATATTTGGGACAACTAATAGACAGTTCGGGATCTCTACTACCAGAAATCAACAGAAAAATTAGGTTAGCATGGAAGAACTGGGCATGGAAACACTTATGGGGGAAACTCAATCATATTCAAATCCAGAATGCCACTCTATCTAAAGAAGAAAACATTCGACTAACCAGTCATGACCTAGGCATGCAAAACCTGATTACTTAAAACGGACATTGTAAGAAAACTGCAAGTCGCACAACGCTCAATGGAACGAAATATGCTGGAAATAATCAGGAGAGACCGTAAAAGAATAGTGTGGATACGACAAAAAACCCAGGTAATAGATGCCATCCACAGAGTCAAATCCCTCAAATGGCAATGGGCAGGACACCTGGCAAGAAGAGCGGACAACAGATGGACCACAAAAGTTACAGCATGGTACCCACGAGGAATTAAGAGATCTAGAAAAAGCCGAACCTGAGATGGGACCATGATATTACGAAATTTCGTAATGCTAATTAGCAGGGATAACTTGGGCCCGCATAGCCAACAATACATACATACATACATACTGCCCTTACTCGCTGACGAGTATTTGACACGCATCAGAAGATGGTCACACAAGGCGATTTCTTTCATGAGCTTTTCTGTGACTGAAAAGCCCAATACGTGATGTTATTTGTCTACCGCACTCCGGACATTCAAAAATCTCATTGCTTTGTTGCCTCTTAACTTTTTGGTTCTTGCTGGTAACTGAGTTTACAATTCTTCTCCATTGAGTTCTATTGTGAGCTGCTACTTCCCACTCATTCTGCACGTTAATCCCCCTTAAGTTTTTGGTGGAAAATGTCCTTGTACCTTTTGAGTTGTCCACCTGGCCTCCTCTTACTGTCTACAAGCTCACCGTAAAGGAGTGATTTTGGTATGCGGTTTTCTTGCATTCTGCATACCTACGTGACCAGCCCATCTTAGTCGGGATTTTGTAACCATGACTTCAATACTCTCGCAGTTTTTCAAGAACCGATACGTTTGAGACATGATGGAACCATCGGATTCTTAAGAGCTGTCTAAGGTGTCTCTGTTCCAACTTGTTTAATGCCTTCATGTGTCGGCGGTACGGCACCCAGGTTTCGCTCCCATATAACATGGTGGGGATTATTATTGCTCGGTACACTGCAAGTTTCGTTTTTGTGCTCTGGTCATGGTTGTAGAAAACCCTGTCTTTTAATTTCCAGAATGCTCTTGAGGCGCGGCTAATCCTGTGCTGAATTTCAGAGTCGATATTGGCCTTTTCCGAAATCAAACTGCCGAGATAATTGAATTCCGCTACATATTCCAGTAGTTCTTCTCCGATTTTTATAGCATTGTTGTGATCTTCCGGGGGAGTGCACATGATTTTAGTTTTGTCGATGTTTAGTTCAAGGCCCAAAGCCTCGTATGCCCAGGTATATGTGTTCAACATTTCTTGTAATTGCTGTACAGTTTTTGCAACTAGAGCGCAGTCATCAGCGTATTGAAGTTCTGTGATGAATTTTGTACGTGTTTCTTGCTCTGAGTCTTTTATTGAACAGGACCGCCGTCGTCTCTGTATCTAATGCCTGTCTTCTCCCAGTCATTGTCCACTATAATGGAGAGCTTGAATATGTTGAATAGAGAAAGCGCTAAGACATCCCCTACTAACTCCTGTATTTAAGAAGGATCGCCAGCGATCCATGATGTGACACTCTTGACTTGTTGTTGTTATGGAGGCTTTTGGCTACACTGTAAGAAATTTGACAAATCTGAACTTTGTCATAATTGCCCAAAATGCATCTCTGTTCACAGAGTCGAAGGCTTTTGTTAGGTCGATGAATGCAACATTAAATTTAGATTGCTGTACTTTTACTTTTTCCGCGGTTAGTGCGAAAACCCGTTTGCGATTCTGGAAGAATTTTTTCTATATGTGGGTGCAGGCGGTTTGACCTAATTTTTGCAAGAATTTTTCCTCCGATAACCAAGAGTGAAATTCCCCGGTAGTTTCCGCAGTCTGATGCACTTCCTTTGTTCTTAAATATATTCACTATATTTGCGTTGCAAAAGTCCTGAGGTACCTCTCCGCTTTCCCATATGACATCGAAGAGAGCCTTAAGATGACCAATAAGATCTTTACTTGCACACTTATAGATTTCCGCCCGAATCGCGTCACAGCCAGCTGATTTGTTGTTTTTAAGCTGTTTTATGGAGGCCTTTATTTCCTGTTCTGTTATTGGGATATCTAATACATCGAGGCTGTTATACTGAGGTATTGTGTTTAGTGCTTCCATATTGGGGTTAGTTTCTTGGTTAAGGATATGGCTGTAATGCTCTTTCCAGCGGTTTCTGATTATACCAACAATAGGCAACAATAGGCATAACATATAGGCAACAATAGCCAACAATAAGCAACAATGGGCAGTACATACAAAACGGTATCTGGATAGGCTATAGGGGTTATATCTGAAATAGCACCTATTGAACTGCTCATACAGGAACGGTATGATAGATACCATGGGATGGATTTTTGATCTAGCGAGGACAAAACTTCTCCAACAGTGGCAGGACAAATGGTATACCGGAATATATGGCAGATGGACATACAAGTTAATACCCGACATTCAATTATGGTTGAACATATCATACGGAGAAGTAGATTACTTCATGAGTCAAGCATTGTCTAGCCATGGATGTTTTAAAAAATATTTGTATGATCGTTGTAGGGTTGATGGTGCATCATGCACCTACTGCGGTCAGGTTGATGATGTTCAGTATACATTGTTTGCGTGCGAACGATGACTGGGCTTTAGGGAAAAATTCCATATGGAAGCCGGTAAGGATTTCGACTTACCCACATTTATGATATACTTAGTTGAAGGGGAAGAACAATGGACGCTAATATATCGGATAGTCCGAAATATCATAAACTTTAAAAAAATCTTCTTCTTCTTCTTCTTCTTTTAGAAGGCGTATCGCCTGTTTAGTTCCGGTTTCCTCCTCGTCTAAGCAACTCTTGCGAGGTTGACTGCAAACTGTCTTGCCAACGTTTAGGTGGTCGTCCAGTAGGTCTTCTGCCATGGGGTACGTTGTTGCGAATTATTATGGCCATTCTGTCGGGGCCCATTCTATTGACATGCTGGTTCCATTCTCTTCTTCTCTGCCTTATCCATCCGACAACGTCGTTTGTTTGGCACTTTTCTCTTATGTCTACATTTCTCTGTCTGTCCCTCAATGTGTATCCAGTTATCATTCTTAAGGTCTTCATTTCAGTAGTTCGTAGGATTCTCTTTGTTACTGATGTTTCAGCTCTTGTTTCCGCACCATATGTCATCACTGGTCGTATGCAGGTTTTGTATATTCTTGACTTACATTCTGTACTCAAATGTTTGTTTTTCCATATGGGATATTTAAGATGTCCTGATATTGCGGCAGCTTTATTGGCTTGTTTCCTTACTTCTTCTTCCAGGAATCCTGAGCTTGTAATTTTGCATCCGAGGTATTCGAATAACATTATCTGATCAATAGTTTTGTTTTTTATTACCAATTTGCACCGTAAAGGCTCCTTTGTAATGGTCATGCATTTGGTCTTATTTGTGGAAATTTCCATGTTAAGTTTTTCTGCCTGTCTGTTAAAAGCTTGTAGCATTCTTTGGAGGTCGTCCTCTGACTCTGCAATAAGTACTGCGTCATCGGCATAGCATAATATGTTTACTTTATGCATTCCCATTCGATATCCTAATCCAGTATTCTTGACGGTTTTTATTACTTGATCCATGATTATGTTGAATAACAGAGAGCTAAGACTGTCGCCTTGGCGAATACCAGTTGTAGTTCGAAGGTGCTGCGTTAAGGTAAAGTTTGTTCTTATTTGGGTTGTTGTGTTTGTGTTTAAGTCCTTGATAAGTTCTGTGAGTTCTTTCGAGACATTACTGCTTTCCAAGGTGGTGATGATGTCTTTTAGTTGGACTCTATAAAAGGCCTTTGTTAAATCTATAAAACACAGATAGGCTGGAGAGTTATATTCTAAGGATTTTTCAACTAGTTGCCTGAGTATGAATAATGCATCGGTAGTTGATCTGTTTCTTCGGAATCCTTGTTGTTCCTCGCTTATTGGCACTATTGAGGAGATTTTGTCCGCAATATCTTAGTCAGAAGTTTTAGCGAGGTGCTCAGTAATGTTATTCCTCTATAGTTTGCTGGGTCTGTTTTATCTCCCTTTTTAAAAATGGGTATTGTTATACTTTGTTTCCATTCTTCTGGTATTTTCTTAGGTTGTAATATAATGTTAAACAGTTTTGTGTATTCCTCTATGATAGCCGTACCTGCGATTTTTATTAGCTCATTTGGTATTTTATCTTTATTAGGAGATTTTCTATTTTTAAGTTTCCTTATCGTCTCTTCTACTTGCTTGTAAGTGATGTGCGCATGATCTTCTGTATTATCTCTTTGGCTTGTCTCTTGTGCTTCCATTGGTTCATCTGTTACTGCGTATAAGTATAATAAGGAAGAACATGATAAGATAAATCTAGACACCCTTTGCACTAAAGCAATGCGAGAGCGGATTCCAGTATAAAATGGTAATTGGAGGAGGGTTTTTTTAGCCGGTAGGAATCCGGCACTACCCAACTTTGGGTGTCTTATGCAAGATTTTTTCCCTCTTCGAAAGAAAAAGAAAAGACAATAAATGGTCCAATTCCGAAGAGAGTATCTAAATAAATATGTGAGGGAGACTACACCATAATTGGATTTGGTTGATAAGCTGGAAGAAATGATGATGATACTGCCGAGTTATTATTTTTTTAATACGATTTTATTTTTATTAAATCCAAATAATAAGCTTTATAACTTTCTGATAAAATTAACATTTTTTTAACATTAACATTAACAGTTTATTTAAAAGAATCAAAATCAAAATGTAGTATAAATTAACACATTTTACTGGTTTACATTAATAAAACAAACCAATAACGTACCTACTTTACATTTATAGGATTTTTTTAGTGTATCTAAATGTGTACTCTAATGTTAAATTATTACCTTCTTCTGATATACATGTCAAATCAGCCTTTTCCCCATTACCATTCTCTATCATACCGCCGGAATTGTTCTGAACCATATCGGCACCCAGAATGACAGCTGCCGCGGTTACACTGGGACTGACCACCTGGTCATTGTCCATTTCCTGAGGGAACGACAGCCTTCTATTGTGAGACGAGTACGCACCATGGACACAGAAATGCTGCGTACCGCCGTTGGTACGACTGTTTTTGGCGCGGTTTAGTTTTCTTTGACGTACGTCAACGAGAAAGAGCGTCAGGCTGCCCACTAGAACGCAGGTGGAGCTAAAGTAGTATCCGGTTTTGTTATTGTAGGTGTCGTTGAGAAATCCTATGAACAGAAGAAGAAATAATATTTAAAAAAAGTCAATTACTATAACGTCACCGAATCTTAAATTTCGTTTTTCTGGGACTTTATTTTTAGGGTTCCGTACCCAAAGGGTAAAAACGGGAACCCTATTACTAAGACTTCGCTGTCCGTCCGTCCGTTCGTCAGTCACAAAGGTCTATCTTATGAACCGTTATAGCTAGACAGTTGAAATTTTTACAGATAGCGTACCTATGTTGCCGCTATAAGAACAAATGCTAAAAACAGAATTAAATAAATGTTTATAAATAAAAAAGTACTTTCTTCACTAAACATTATCTTTTAAGTAAGAATTTTACATAGAATCTTTCAAGTCCTCGGTGGCCGCGTGGTTAAAGCGTTAGGACTTTACGCTGCTATGACGTTGGAGCCGTAGAAAGGGAGGTTCGAATCCTAGTCAAGGCGACTTATTTTTAATCGCTTTTTTTTTTAATTTTTACATATTTATTATTGATTAATACAATTTTTAGTAATGTGTTTTTTCATTTTTTTTTAAATTACTTATACGCGCATTCAAAATTTCAGCTAAATCGGAAAAAAAGTTTATAATAATATAGTATCTAATGTTGTAATGAGTGGTACGGAACCCTTCGTGCGTGAGTTCGACTCGCACTTGACCAATTTTTTTAAATACGGACCTGGAGTTTTCATTTCATTTTTCATGAGTATATATATATATATATATATATATTCGGGTCAGAACGTCCTACGACGTTGTCCCATGCCTAACTTCCACCCTGTGCGATTTTCCCATTGATCTTCGGTCAGATTTTTCTCGCTCATCGACCTTCTTATTCCTTCCATCCATGTTTTCTTGGGACGTCCTCTCTTTCGTTTACCAGGTGGTATCCAAGGAATGACTTGTTTTGGAATTCTTTCATTGTGCATTCTCTGAACGTGGCCGTACCATATTAATTGTTTTTGTTCTATATCATTTACTATTGTTCCCTCTATTCCCATCTGTTGTCTAATGTCTTCATTTCTGATCTTATCCCTCCGTGAAATTCTCATTGCTCTTCTAATCGCGTCCATTTCTGTTGTCTCTAATTTCCTTTTATTCCTTTCAGTGAGTCGCCATGTTTCACATCCATAGAGTAATATGCTTTTAACTAGTGTCTCGTATATATTATATTTCCTGTTTTTTGTAATATCAGTGCTCCATAGAATGCCATTTATGCATCTGATAACTCTTCGTGCCTGTATTACTCTGTTGTTTATTTCTCTATCGTCCGTTCCATCTCCTGTAAATATCGATCCCAGGTACCTGTAATCTTCACATGCCCTAATTTCCATATTATTGTCTAAAATAAGATTTCCTGTATTAGCTCAATTGGAAGGTATTTTGTTTTTTCTGCATTTACTGTGAGACCCCATTTAGCATATTCTTCAATTATTTTCCGCACCATATATTCCATGTCATCTTTGTCATTTGCAATTATGGCCTGGTCGTCTGCAAATTGCAAGGTGTATAGGCATAGATGTAAGGCCTTGGCAATGTAAATTTTAAATAGTGTTGGGGATATACAGCAACCCTGGCGGAGCCCTTTAGTGATAGAAATTTCCTCTGAGAGACCGTTGACCGTTTTTATTTGTGATTTTCCTCCATGGTAAAGATTTTGTACAGCTTTTATCAGAGCTGCGTTAATTCTTGATTCGTGCAATACTTCCCATAATTTTATTATTGGCACTGTATCATATGCTTTTTGTAGATCGATGAATGTTATATGAACTTCCTGGTTCATTGCAGATTTCTTCTCGATGATCTGTTTCAATGCAAAGATATTATCTGTACATGATCTTCCGCTTCTGAAACCATTCTGCTCTTCTTCTTCGTAGCTGGAGTATTCCTCTTCAATTAAGTTCCCCAGTATCCTTCCATAGAGGCGACTCATAGTGCTGGTAACCGAAATTCCCCTGTAGTTATTGGGATCCTTCCTTGAGCCCTTTTTATATATAGAGGAGATATATGCTTTTTCCACTGTTCAGGTACTGGATGACCATTTAAGCACTGGTTAACTATGTTTGTTAACATTCTAAACAGTTTTTTGCTTCCAGATTTTATGAGTTTCGCATATACTCCCTCTGGGCCACATGCTCTTCCATTCTTTAAAGACATTATAGCTGTCTTTATTTTGTTGGTATCCACGTAGATTTCCTCTCCTTCGATGTTTATTTCTGACTGTGGCGGTTCTTGATACTCAGGTCTGTTCTCTGACAACAATTTGGAATAATATTTCACCCATTCTTTGTTGGTTATTATTTCTATAGGGGCTGACTCCTGTTTTTCAGTTGTTGTTGTTTTTATAAATCTCCATACTTCCGTATTCCTTCTTCCGCCTATATACGTATTAATTTCTGTTGCATTTGTCATCCCACACTTTATTCTTTTCTTCTTTTACCATTCTCCTCACCTCATTTTTTCTTGTCATTATAAGTGCGCTTGTCTAGTTCAGGTTTCGAATTTAGCCATTTCAAATACAGTATCTTTTTTTTCCTCTACAAGTTTTTCAAATTCATCAGTCTACCACAACTTTCTGCTCTTTCGTCTCGCTTTTATTCCTAATGCTTCCTCTGCGGCTCCATGAATACTGTCAATTATATTATTGTATGTTAGGTGAAAAGGCCTTTCCGAATCTTCTATAAGTTTTTCATCAAGCCTGTTCTGATAAAGATATTTGACGCTGTCATGCATTAGACTTTCTAAATTATATCTTACTGTGGTAACTGGCTTCGTTCTTCCTGTTTCCTCTTAGTTGTTTTGTTTAATTTGATATGGTGGAAAGAGAATTTTTGATCTTAAAAGGTAATGATCTGAGTGGTGTCCGGTGCCCCTTAGGATTCTTACATCATTAATTTTTATGTTGTTACTTTGTTTTGTAATTATATAATCTATTATTGATTTTAGGTCACGTGTTGGTTGAATCCAAGTATATTTATGAATTTGTTTATGTTTAAAGAAACCATTTTTTATTGTTAAGTTGTTATACTCGCATATGTCAATAAGCCTATTACCGTTGTCATTGATATTTTCTTCTCCGTAAGGGCCTATGATTTTATTATTTTTTCATGAGTATACTGATCAGTTTCTTTACGTGTGTGTACAAATCAAACATTTTTTAGGCAGGCTCGATACATCATTGTATTTATAACGTAATCAGCTTTTAAAAAAGAAAATAAAAATCTAGATACCTGAAAGATCCGGTATAAGATCCATCGATTTAAATTATTTCAAAGGTTACAGTGCTGCCGCTCTGTTTAAAAAGTAGTTTTAAGTATCTTTGACATTTTAAACGAAACATCCGGTACATTATTACATTTTTAGCGATACCAACTAAACTTTTAGTTACGTAATCGAGAGCGCGATTTTTAAATTCATTGTTACCAACCATGGACATATTCGGCGCTAACTGAACGGACTGACTAACTAGAATTTAAATTTCCCGCTTGAGATTCAGGTGGTAGATCTACTGTAAGAATGTCAAGTTGCCACATTTGTTTATTTATTTCCTAACCCTAGGGGTTTTCGGAAACTCTGATCTGATTGATCGGATTGATTATAGGATTACTAATCCAGACGTTCGAAAAGTGATCCGAATAATTCGATTTTTGCCATATGTTGTGATCCTACTAACCCTCTAACGAGGTGGGTAGATATAATCAGCTGATCATCTCTAGTGTAATTTTAAAAGTAACGGTCCGCATAGAAGTATAAAAGTTTTTTTAATAACCGTTTTGTCCTAAATCACTTTATCTAATGATGATTAAATACATGATATTTTGTTAGTGACCGTGAAAATCAGCATAGCATCAAGTAACTCTATATTTTAAATAAAAGCGCAAAAGCACTATCGGAGACACCCGATAGGAAAAAGATGAAAACTGAAGTACAGAACTTAATTTAAGTGGTTTAAAACATTTAGATCAGTGATTCCCAAAGTGGTCCAGGTGGACCCCCAGGGGTCCACGGGAGACTTGCTGGGGGTCTACGTAGGCGTGAACAAAAAATGGGGGTCCATAAGATGTTAATGGGGGTCCACGAAATTTATCTGCTTTTGATAGTAAAGAGCAAAAATGTAAGCATAGTTTTTATAAGGGCCTACCTACATTGTTTTAAGTACCTATCTAAGCAGATAATATTTTAATAAGGCAAGCGACTGTTACTTGTCCAAACTTGCGTATTCGATATTACGTACAATTTCGTGTACAGACTTGCAAAGCGCTATCCGCCCGACAATGCTTAATGCTTGTTCAGACATGAACTTGATCACCACTATAAATACTTGATGCCAAAGGCAAACGCATTCATTTGTTTCCGGAATTTCGAAAAAAGGCGGAATTTGGAAAAAAAAGTTGTGAGAAAATTTATATCTGTGTTTGCTAGTGCCGGAGAAAAGTAAGTAACCTACCTTTTTTTTGTTATAGTACTTAAGTATTTTGTTTACGTGTACTAGTCGGTTGATCACAACGGCCTGTATAGATAGGTAACTTAGTAACTTACAGATATTTTAATTGTCCTCTTTCGATTTGAAGACAAACACAGCACGTTTTATTCAATTGTTTTTTCACGAGAGAAACACTGCCTCTCTAAAAAGGCCGAATAAGCAATATTGCAGAGCAATTAATTTTGTAATTTTTCTTGCAAATAACTACTAATTTTATAAAACAGTAATTTCATAATCATTTTAAATTGGTTTTGAAGTAACTATTTTATCAAAACTATTCCTTTTCGGAAAGAGCGAGCGGTGCGCGGGCGACGGGAAAAGGGCGGGGCTTGGACTTCGATGCCAGTTTGTCACGTTTTAACAATGAAGCCGCAGACAAAAATACGCAAATACACGGAGCGCGTGAACTCATTGATTTAATAAAATGTTAGTTATCGTTTTTTATGGACAATTTTGGGATTTCGACTTTTTATTTTTTTCCTACACAAATATGATCAGTATTCGATACTGAGTACACCAATTTTTATTTATACTATTAAAAATTAGTGGTAAATTATGTACTTTAAAATTGATACCGTTTTGTGAAAACGTCTGTATTTGTCTCAGCGGTTTATTAGTTGGTCCCTTTACAAGCCGTAATTCTATTTCCGCGTGCTGACAAAGGCTGCGGTGTGATACCTATATTCAGAAAAAAACTTGGTTACTAAAACATTTTTTTTTTACAGGTAAGGTAACTGACACGAAACATGGCTACAGCAAAGAAAAAATGTCGACAATATAGTATCGATTATTTGAAATATGGTTTTGTTCCATCAGAGGCAGACAAACAATTGCCCATGTGCCTATTATGCAACAAAGTTTTGAGCAATGACTCTATGAAACCATCAAAGCTCGAAGATCATCTAAAAAGGTGTCATACTGATAAAATAGGTAAAGATTTAAAATATTTTCAAACATTGAAAGAAAAATATGGAAAGAGACCCACCATGCACAGTATGTTCGCTTCAACATCTCAAAGTAACGATGATGGCTTGCGGGCATCTTACAATATCTCATTACTTATAGCAAAATCTGGAAAACCGCACACTATCGGAGAACAATTAATTTTACCCGCTGTTGAAGAGGTTTTAAAAACTGTTTTGCACAAATCTCCATTTGACGTACTAAAAAGAATTCCATTAAGTAACAATACTGTACAAAGACGCATTGATGAAATGAGCTCTGATATCGAAAGCTTTTTGTGCAATCATCTGCAAAAAACTCATTTTTCTATACAACTGGACGAGTCAACGTTACCCAGTAATGAAGCATTACTATTGGCATATGTCCGATTTATTGTTGAGGAAGAAATTCACGAAGAATTGCTATTTGCCAGAACTTTGGAGACTGACACTAAAGGCGAATCAATATTTAATGTCCTGAGTAATTTTTTTACGGAAAAATCGATCCCATTTACAAACATTATTTCAGTGGCAACAGACGGAGCTCCTGCAATGGTCGGGCGATATCGTGGGTTTATAAGTCATCTCAAAAGAATTATACCAGGACTTACAGCTATTCATTGCGTAATCCACCGACAACATCTTGTGGCAAAACATTTAAGTGACAGGTTGAACCAATCTCTTCATTTTGTAATAAAAGCTGTCAACAAAATCAGAAGCAATGCATTGAATACGCGTTTATTTGCTCAATTGTGCGACGAAAATGATGAAGACTTCCAACGACTGCTCTTACATACTGAAGTACGCTGGTTGTCGAAAGGTGCATGCTTAACGAGATTTTACTCTGTTTTCGATTCCATATTAGAGTTCTTAGAAAGTAGAGATCCAGATTTAAAAGAAAACTTGATCAAATTCAAAGCAGACATTGCGTATTTGACAGATTTGTTTAAAAAATTTAATGATATTAACTTGCAGTTACAAGGGGACAGCCTGAATTTAATAAAAACAAAGGGGATAATTTCGGCTTTTCTTGGGAAATTGAAATTTATGAAGCAAAACATTAGTCGGCGCGAATTCTCTCAATTTCCAAACTTGTCGCAGGTAGAATGTATTGATGAGGATATCCATACCTACAGTCAACATTTAAGTGCTCTGCATGATGACTTCAAAACCAGGTTTGAAGATATACTGACGATGGATATACCACCATGGATCATAAATCCATTTGATGAAACGGAAGTGGCCAATGTTGTATTACAAGAGGAGCTGCTCGAGCTAAGCACTAATGAGGAGCTGAAGGTGAAATTTAGAAAAGGCTACCCAACATTTTGGCTGCAAGCAGAAATACCCGAAAAATATCCTGGACTGTGGGAAATCGCAAGGAAATTTTTAATAGCTTTTCCCTCGTCATACCTTGTCGAAAGGAGTTTTAGTGCCGTTACAAACCTCTTAACAAAAAAAAAAGGAGCAAATTAAACATCACAGAGCGGGGGATTTGCGGTTATTGCTCACAAAAATAAAGCCAAACATTGATCGTTTGCTGACACTCCATCAGATACATCCTTCCCATTAATTAAAATTATGACCTGAACCTATATTACCTTAATATTTTTTCTTGTAATTCTATTCTTTTAATAAATAAAGTGATATAAAATGTACCATTTTTCGTTTTATTTTACATATCGGAATATAGGGACAGAACTCAGAAGTGACACAATTTTTATTTTTTGGCGACTTTAAGAATGTGGTAGAAATGTAGCAGCAGGGGGTCCACCGAAACCAGTAAAATTTTGAAAGTGGTCCACGAGAAAAATAAGTTTGGGAACTACTGATTTAGATTAAAATAACCAGGCGTAATGAAAGAATGGAACTTGATAGATTCTGAAATTTCTGAAAATTTTCATCACAATGGTACATAAAAATTGATATATTTTTTATTATTAATATGTTGGAATGTTTATTTGATTAAAATAAAGTTTATAGTGTTTTTGTTTTAAATGGCATAATTAGACTAAAATAAAACACATTTGGTTTTTATAAAAAATAGTCTTACAGCAACTAAAAAGTATACTTAAAGCAAAACAAATAGGATAAAAATAGATCTTATACAATCGTTAAAGAGGGATATTAAGATTATAAAGATTATTTGCTGCATTTACCTCTTTTTACGAAATATATTTAAATGTGATCAAAATGTGATTGTTAACATTGTTAACCCCGTCAATCTAATCAGAGATCTAATGATCCAACCGTTCATAATTAAACTACCAGCTGATTACTCTCAGCACTGATCTTGGAACAGCTGGTTAGTAAACTACCTAATCTAGGATTTTAACTCCGAAAACCCCTATTATTGTCATTCGTTTTGACACTTTATAGTTTTGTATTACGAGTTTTTGGTTTAAATTAATTGTGCTGTGATAGCTATCACAGCACAATTCATTTAAAGTTAATTTTTTTTATTAGCTTGCAGTCGAATATTGTTCTTTTTAGAACCTCTTTTAGTGCGAAGTGTACAAGATCGCTTAATAGCCGTTGCAAAAAACTCATCGCAACCTTATTAGAATATTTTGAACGGAAAATGGTAGTAATGACCCTTTATATCCCTTAAGTGCTGTTAAGGAGGTGATGTAAATAATAACTGTTATTTATAATTAATTTATTTTTGTTTCCTAAAATATTTTGATTAAAAGAAAATACGTAAAAGTGGGCAACGCTGTGCCGGTCAGGCTTAATCACATGTAATAGTAATGCAACCAAAATTAATGTGCACAATAGTAAAAAATCCATTTGTTGCAAACTTTTTGGCACACTCTGCATCTATCACTATCAAGATAAACAAAATAAAGCATATTTAATATTAATAAATACTCTACTTTAGATAGCGGAACTATTTAGAAAATAATAATTTTATTATACCTAGTTTCATTTGAACAAAATAACTACTTGTGTATCATACTCTGCTCAGTTATGATTGCTACCTTACCTGAGAAAGGTACACCAATAATGATGGGTATAGCCTGAGAAAACTGAACGAATCCCCAAGTTTTCGCGAAGTTTCTAGCTCTCACTTTTTCGTAGGTGTACATTTTTAATGAATAATGATAGCCGCCACAACAAATACCTGAAACAGAACAAAAATAAAACCCTTACAATATAGAAATTGAAAAACGTATAAAAATAGTAAAAAAAAGAGAAAAAATGTAGGTTAGTTTAGAGCATTTTTTAAAATATCGAGAGTTCTACAGGGTGTTATGAAAAGAAGGTTCTCAAAAAAGGGGGTTCTCAAAAAAAGTTACACATCAAAGTTGTGTTTTTTGTAATGGGACACCCTATATATTAATTGATTTTCGGATTCTAGGAGAAAAATAAAGGTAAGTTTTATTAAAAAAGTATATGACTAAAATGTCAGGTTTTTGACATATTTAACATTTTCTAAAAATGAACAACAAATTTCAAATTTCAATAGAAGCTACCTAAATTGGAATGTACCCTGTATAACCTGATATTTTGCTAAAATTGCCTTTGTATGTTAAATAAAATTAAAATTTAACCTAAAAAGTTATACAGAGTGGGACAAAATTAATATTAAACTGTTAAAATCAAATTACTCCATTATTTCAAATGCAACACCGTACACAGTATATTATTCCGATATTCAATGAAGAATTTATATATCTTCAAAATATTCTTAAGGTTGCCTACCCCTTAGTGAAAGATTTTGCTAGATATTTATATTTTTATGATTTTGGGTCAGTAGATCTTTATTATTTGATTGCCACTTAGATTTGAAAATCTAGGGGGCTGTGAAATATCTTTTGTTAATTTAATAAAAACTAAACTCACCACAAAAATCTAAACCTAAAAAATATAACCACCAAATAAAAGTTTGATCTTCAATTGACGAGCATTATGCTAAACATTTTGGGTTTTGTGTAGATTAGAGATCTCTTAGTAAAAGAAAATTAATTTTTGGTACAGTAAGCATGTTATTAGGTATCTTACCATAGATCCACGCAAACATGACGTAGGCTTGGTAATTCCCCGTGACCACAGTAAAAGCTAGAATGGACACTCCGGTCAGCAACATGGCCGCTTGGCACAGATATTGTCTGGATATTCTACATTCTGTGGAGGTGTGAAGGACAAAAATGCTGAATACTATGCATCCAAGAGTCCAAGCTAAGCCTAAGTAGATTTGGAGGAATATTGTTGAATCTCCTAAACCTAAAATCAAGAAAATTCGATATATAATCACTATTAAATATAATAATAGTTTTATAATAATATAATAATAAATTAATTGTGTCCAACGATATGATCCATGACAGTAGCCAGGTTGTGCCTGTCATTTTAATTGCTCAAGGCCAAGACCAAAATGATTTTGGTTTTGGGCTTGATTTTCTCATCACTAGTTATAATTACCTTCAATCTTGGCTTGATAAGCCAAGTAAAACAAAGGAGTATTAATTCCAAACGCTCCAATCGCAGTAGATATCAACAATACCCTCACAGTATTACTTCTGAGTGGAGAAAGATCGAAAAAAGGACTCTTATCCTCAAGTTTGCTCTTATCCTTGATCTTTCTTTTCTGGTTTTTGATGTGGATGATGGCTCGTCTCTGTGGATGGTACAGTGATGCCGATCTGTAGAAGATTCCCAGGATGAACGTTAGGGAGACTATGCCTGTGACAGTTTGGAGTCCTAGACGCCAACCAAAAGCACTGAAAGAAAAAAGGAAAATAAGTACTATTAAGCTGTACGCACACTGGTGCGATAATGGCCGCGATTACGATATCCACGCGGCCGCGGCCAAAAGTTGCTGAAGGATACATAATGTGAGCCGTTTCACATTGGCGCGATCGAGTTTTGGAGACAAAGCGGCTTGGCGACGTCTATTCTGCGGTGGCGATCAGATTCAACTTGTCGAGTTTGATCGCGTGATCGCGACCCAACTGATAGGAATTTTCCATTATTTTGTGTGTTTTTTCTTGTTGCAGTTTAGATATGGAGTTAACAGAGTAGCTAATTAAAGCTGTAAAAATACACAAAATTCTATATGATTTATCCAATCCAAGTTACAAAAATGATAGAATTAAAAATAAAAAGTTTGACACAAAATTGGAGTTGCAATTGGATTGGATAGTACATTAAGTACATACGTTTACATATTTATTGTTTAAGTTTAAATATTGTAGGTAAATATTTAAGAATGTTTTTTTTCGGTATACATAATTCACATTTTTAATTTGTGCCTATGTACACCTGTAGGATAGCTCACTACATATAGGTACGGCCGTGAACGGGAACGCGTTGGTGTGTGCTAGAATGATCGCTCATGTTATCGCTGCCCTCATCGTGATCGTGATCGCGGCCGTGATCGCGCCAGTGTGCGTGTAGCTTTAAACGCCTGTGGTAGCGATAATAACGGATGGTTATAGACAGGGTATGGTGGAATGAAGATACGATTATATTTTATTTCGTAGCTACAAGGAGTTAATGTTTTTATTTTCATTCGATTTATTATAATTTCCTTCCAAGTTCTTTTAGTGATTTGAACGAAATTTTGAGGCTAAAAGTTACTATAAGTATTTCATATTTTAATGCTAAAGAAATGTCGACAGATTCACCAGGGACGTGTATAGGGGTTATCAATGGAATATTTTTCAAAAAACAATAATGTAAAAAAAGTTGTATCTTGATATTTTGTCGATTTCGATGAGATAAATTTTATAAATCACAATAAATAAAATTAAAATAAAAACAAAGTTAATAAATCATTTATTTAATCTAATTTATTATTAAATTTTGTTAAAACTTATAACACTGATGTTTAGTGCTATACCTATAGCAAATTCAAAAAAAATGGTCATCATCATCATGATCATACCGTGATCATATCATGATCATCATTCTCAGCTTACTCAAACAGTTCAAACTAATATAGAAAATAAATCTTATTTTGAATTGCGGAATCTCCCGACAAGAGATGGGCACATGTTTTTGGAACCACCCTGTATATTTTATGCTAAATTCAAATTGAAACATTTTTTTACTTACTTAATCGCTATTTTAACTATGGTGGACATAACGGCAAGGCCCATTCCACTGCCCGAAACCGTGGCGATTTCCACCAATTCCCTTCTCCTTTTGAAATATTGGGCCACCATTAGAGTGGAACAGTCTTTGGTAATGCCTGCACCCACGCCCAGAACGAAACCATAACTGAAAGGAGTGAAAAATGGAAAGAAAATATGTATTTAAAAAGAGGTTAATTTATCATCCAGATGTAAATTCTGTTCTATATAACAATATTTCTAAAGAATTTTACTTAAAAATAGAGATACAAATTAAAATCTAATGATCAAAAATTAAGTATAAACGAAACTTTTTTTATTATTTTGGAAGTAACAGCTTTTCTTCAAACTTTTTCCGTTTTTTTCTTAAAAAATAGTATTTCAAATATAAATCTAGAGTGCCATGAAAATAAATATAACGACAATTTAACTCGGAATATTATACCAAGTATGTGGGCCAAAATATTCGTAAGAAAATGGTTTTTCGAAATATGCTAATAAGCCACTCTCGCTCCATTTGAAAAAAAAAACTGTGTTATGATTAAAAATACAATTTGATCATCTTTTAACTAACCAACATTAGAAGATTAAATCTATTTTTTCAAGGCTCCTTGATTAAAAATTAGTAGTATTAACACAGCCATGGCACTTTAGATTGAAACTTAAAATATCATTTTTTTTTTAATTAAAAATTTCAAAAGTTGCATACGATTTGTCATTCTATTCAGAATATCAGTCATTTTCTAACGAATAATATGATTATTTGTTAGAAAATGATGTTACATTTATATGAGTCTTTAGTTGTCATATTAATATTACCTCTAAGTATACAGTGTATACATATTTACCTGAAATACAATTGATGAAACTGTGTTGCAAAACTAGTAAAAAGGCATCCAAGGGCAGTGATTAAGCCTCCCATAACTGCTGAGACCCTGGTCGATTTTTTCTTACAAAACGATATAGTTATTGGCGAAATTATCAGTGAAACACCAGTTGATAGTGCTGTTAACCACCCTGAAAATAAATTAGTAATTTTTTTAATAAGTTACATACAGAGCTGTATCTACCATATAATTAAAAATTTATAGATATGTTTGCTACCTTGAACTTGTATTGAAATACTTAATATTTGTTAAAGTATTTTGAAAGAAAAATGATTACATAAATATTCATAAATAATATTTATACCTTTGTGGCGGCAAAAAAAATATAAGTATAAATATTCCTGTTGCTTGACTCAATAAAAAAATATATAAAGAGGTACAAACATAGCTCGATACAATCTATTTGAAATAAATTGAATTGTATTTTTTTTCAAGTCATTATAGTATTTTATGAATTCTAGCCAGCTGTAAAATAACACATTTTCAGCTCATATCTTTAAAAATGCAAAAGGTTATAACTGGACGTGTTCTGTCTTTGTCCATAATATTCCTTCAGTTGCGTGAAAATGTCAGTAACGATTCAATAGAAACACTCACAAAAGAAATTGAGAGAATTTACTTTTCCTTTTCATACATTTTAACATAGAATTATACGTATATTCGGCTCAAAAATAAAACTCTAATAACAGCTTTTTATATTTTTTGTTTTGTTGTATTGTAGTTCTTAATATAAAATAAATAAAATACATAACATAATTTAAGGAAATAATATAATATAAATCAAAATAGTTCTATACACGTAGGTCTGTTTTGTTTAGTATTTAGCATATTTAGAGCAAACATTATTATTATACATGAAATTATAAAACAAAGAAATGCGTATCAGATCCACTACAGTTATGACAAAATCCATTTTTTAGATTTGTGAATGGCAGTTTTAAAATATTGAATAATTCTATTTTTCTTTATTGTCTATAAATCTTTTTTTACGTAAACAACAATATAGACCAAAAATTATGTTACGAAATAATAACTAGAGTAATACAGGGTGGTACAAACTGTATTCCGGAAACGTCGGGAGCATATTCTGTAGATAAAAATATGTAAAAAAAGTTCGTATAAATGTATGGTTTAAAATAGTAGTGGGAACTATCGAATGAATACTATCGAAACATTCGATAGTTGCAATTCATTCGAATAATTCGATAGTTACTAAGAAAACATTCGTTGAAAACTATTCGAATAAAAATTATCGAATAGATCCGTCATCTACCTTGAAATATTGTATTCTAGTAATTCGGCAGCAAAAACCATTCATGTATAAAATTCATTCATTTATGAAATTCATTTATTCGTCAGGATCGATTATAATAAAATATTAACTGAATTTTAGTTGTCGCCCGGCGACGTAGGTTTCTTTCCGAGAAACCCGACAGCTATGAAACAAGCCGGCATCTTTGATTTTTTGCGTAGTCAGATATAGATAAGGACCCATTATTTTTTTTTATTGAGGTGCTAGTATTTACACAGAAAATACATTATGAAGGGCGCTGTTGACATATTTTGGTATTAGTTGATATTAGCAAAGAATATTATTGTTTGGCTTTAGTTAGTTAGGGATAGTATGTCTATATATTCTGCTTTTTTTTATTAATATTCTGTTGTTACACTGCAATAATACTTGTTATTTTGGATGTAGGAAAATGATTTTTAATGTTTTTAAGCAAAGACTGGTTTAATTAAAAAAACAGTAATAATTTGTTATACCTATATTATACCTATTAACAACAAAATTTAAAATCATTTAATATAAATATTTTTTTTAAGTAGTAGCAAAATATAAACAACAAATTAGATGTCAAAATTATTTATATTAGATCCTATTTAAAAATAATATAGTCTCTAAATTTATTGTGTGTGGCAACGTTGGTTTATTAAATAATAATAATTACAGAACTAATTTGTTATATTAACAACAAATTTTAAAATCATGAAATATAAACATTTATTAATTTTCTAAGCATGCAGTGTAATGGAAAGAAAATATAAATAAAAATTAGAAATCAAAATTATTTATATTAGGTGCTTTATATTACTATTTAAAAATTATATTTACTTTTACTGGCATTTACTTTAAAAAATAAATGAAATATTTCTTCGCAAAAACTACATGTAAGAGAATTAGCATAAACAAAATACAAACATCGTTAACTTTTTTTTTAAATTGGCACGTGTAAAACTTTCATTTTAATTTTCTCACCCCATAGTTTGAGTTCGATAACCATTTACTTAACCACATTACTTTAATATGATTATTAAGTTCAACTAATTCATATTATTAAAACATCTAAAATACAAATATGTACTTTTAAAATTAATTTAAGTTCATCTCATCTCTCTTAAAAATTGCTACTTCTCAAAATTTCCCATTAAAAAATAGACCATATACCATATAAAATTAAATAATTGAAAGATCGGACTACGGAAAACCACACAACTTTTCGGAAAAATTTTGACCACCTGCACATGCACACAATCGTCAATAAATAAAATTAAAAAATAACTACTATTTTAGTATTTTAACTATTTTAGTAAACGCAAAAATAGCACAGTATTTATACGGTGAAGTTATAAAAATTTGGAAGAACTAATAATACACTGACGCATTCAAAAATCAAACGAATACTAAATTTCATTTATCAAAAGCATTCGATAGGTAGTCGTGGCTCACCGATAAACATTTAGTCGCACGGCGAGGTTGTCACATATGCTTTAGTATACAAATGAATGAATGATTTTATTCGAATAAAACCATTCGATAGTTGAAATCATTCATTCATTAACCATTCGATAGTCTAATTCATTCGATAGTTCCCATCGCTAGTTTAAAATGCTTAGTTTCGGAGATACAGGGTGTAGAAGTTTCAATTTTATTTCGATTTTTCCAAATAATTTCTGAAGTAACGTCAATATTTGGATAAAAATTGGTGTCTGGAAGTTTTTTGACATGAGAAATTTAATTTTGATGTTAATATGACTCCTATTTGTAGGAGGCGCCACCTAAACGTGTTTTAACTTTTTTGAATAGTAATAATTTTTGTCCGTATCTGTATAAAACTACTGCGTGAAGAAATATACATTTCCGTGATTTTTTACGTAACAAATGTCTTTTGGTAAAAATCGTTACGAGCAACCGTTCTCAAGATATTTAGAATGATTTAGCGGAAAAAACTTTAAAGAGGAAGTGTTCATCATATACACAGCAATGACGATAAACATAAATAATATAAAAAACATTCTTTGATATTCTTAAAATGTGATTTTTATAATTTTCACAATTTTGGTGGCAGGTTTTGTATGTTTTAGCCGAAAAAGTCTGGAAAAAAGAAGTATCAATCGTGTACACTGCAATGATGATAAACAAATAAAAAGTATTTATTATACAAAAAATTAGCGTGTTTGGTGCTCTAAAGAACAAAATATATGTAAAAATAATCTTTAATAAACTCTTGAAACTTTAAGAAGAAGAGTTTTTTGGAAGTTAAGTGTTAATGTGAAACTTGTAGAATAAATCAAGCAATAATAATAATATTATAAATTATTCAATAGAAGTTTTTCTTTTACCTGTTTGTTTGGTCACTTCTGGTCCAAACTTCCTCACAATTTCCAACTGAAGCCATCCTACGGACATGACAAATCCATGACCCAAAATGTGGACGAACACTGCTGCCCATAGCACTACCCAACCCCAACCACCTTCAGGGTAATAATGCTGTTTTAGAGTAAGAATTTGCCTTAGATCAGCGACCAAACGCGCTGTCCTGGATATAGGAGGTTCATCTGCACCCGAACCCTGTAAAATAGTAGTATTTGGAATTAAAGTATACAAATTGTATTAAAGATATTTTTACATTGAATGTTATTGAATGTATACAGATAGAGTAATTTCTTAATATACGGTATGGTGTTTAATCATACGCTTTTTTTTGAAAATTAAAAAAATATTTTTTGTATTCAAGTATTTTCTATACCGGGTGCGTTTTAAAAGTGGCTCACCCCCTATAAACTCTTTATTTTTTCAGATAACAAAACGAGATTTGGTATGGTAGTATACGACATAAATTAGGATTGATTTACGTATTCAATTCTTTTCGGCCACTTCCTGTTTCACTGGAAATGACTACCACTTTTGATTTTTAAAAAGCACTTTCGGTATTTTTTACTTTATTCGATAGAAAATGACACTCTGGATAGAATGACATATCATATGTCAACTTTTGACATTTCCGCTTAGAATGCCATGACTGTATTAAAAACACTAATTTTTAATCAAGGAGCATTGGAAAAATAGATTTGATCGTCTAATGTTTTTAGTGTCTTATCCGGGCCGGTTAAAAGATGCCTAATCGTATTTTTAATCATATCTCAATTTTTTCAAATGGAACGAGGGTAACTCATTAGCATATTTGGAAAAAGCATTTTTTACGAATAATTTGGTACCATACACTTGGTATTTCGAGTCAAATTGTCATTATGAATCGCATGTTGCAATTTCAAATAAGCCATATTTTAACAATATTTTCTATCGAATAGAGTAATAAAATACCTAGGGTGCCATTTAAAAATCAAAAGTTGTAGTAATTTCCGGTGAAACGGGAAGTGACCGAAAACAATTGAATACGTCAATCAATCCTAATCTATGTCATATACTTACATAGCAAATCTCGATTTTTTATCTAAAAAAATAAAGAAGTTAGAGGGGTGAGCCACTTTTGAGACGCACCCGCTATATTTGAATATCTGTTCTAGCTTTGAATATGCTATTTTTCTACTATTTCCCGCTAAATTTATATTCTATAATGACTAGCTTTAAGCGTGAGCTGTCTATTGCGAAAGATAGGGTAGTTCCTAATCTAATTTATTTAAAATTAATTTTCCATATAATTTTTTTCCGATATTTTACTTCTAGTTATTCTTTCGAAATTTTATAATAGTTATCAGTAGTAGTTATAGTAGTTATCAGTAGTTCTTGAGTTATAAATGGTGAAACAGACTCAACTTTGTTTTATTTATTTAGATGAAATAATAATAATATTTTTTGAAAGACGCCGCTGGGGTATCAAATATTTAAATTTACTTGTGTTAATTTAAGGAGATAATATTGTAATGAATTCGGCAATTCCAAACACCTGGATTTCTTCGTCGGGTTCTGTGTAATCCGGAAATGAAATCAGGTTACAAATAGGGGGAAGAAAATCTTTTAGAATACATTAGAATAATCGATGAATCAGCAGAACAAAAAGAGAAAAGAAAATAAGGATCTTACTTATATCTAAGATTTTGGAGTTTTTTAAAACGCTATAGTCGTAGTAGTATACAGGGTGTCCCAAGCTGAGCCTGCATTAGAAGTTTCTAAAGAACTACAATATCTAGATCGGAGATTTTTTGAACATCATTGTTTTACAATGACATCTATCGATTAAAAATATTTTCAATATGGCGGCACTTCCGGAAATACCGGAAGTTGACAGGAACTTTTTTATTATAAATGGGTACCCCCATTTTTTATTACACACTTAAATTCTCTGTAAAATGCTCTGAATATTGATGTCAAACACTCTATATCTAACATTAACAGTTTTTGAGAAAAAAAATTAAAATGTTTGAACGAAAAACACTACCTGTCAAAAAAATTTATATAGCCTAAAAAGTCAAATATATAGAGATTACCACAGCCACTGTGACACCTATGACATAAAGAGAAGACATGTGGCTATTTCAAAAATTGAATTGTTCGAATGTCATATAATAATGGCGGTAGCTGTCATGAAATTGAGCGATTAAAAAATTATCATAAATCATTTTTTTCAAATGGAAACCCACTTTTTTTATTTCACTAGTAAAAAGGTTTTTCAATTCGTTACTTTTTGACTATACATGTTCCTATACCTAAAATAAGTCGTTTTTAAGTTATTTAAGATTATACAGGGTTGTTCACCACATACGACACGGAAGATTGTAGCTAAACGATTAGATTTTTACAAATTGTAAGTTTTGGGTTCGTTGAAGGACTATTAGAGCTACAATTTAAAAATATTTTTACAAGTTACAGAGTGTCCCAAATAAATAAAAAATATCAAAGTTGTATTTTTTTAAATGGAATACCCTGTATATTATTACATTTTTAGTTTCTACGATTAAAATAAAGGTAAATTTGATTAAGGTTTATTACACATAAACCTTACCGTTTTTGAAATATTTTCAATTTTGTGAAATTGCAGTATAAATTTTAAGGCTTCATTTCTCCGAGGGTATCAAAGTTTTTAATACTAAATATTTACTGAAGTTTATTTATTGATCAGTTATTGTGTTGCTGTAATAAAAAATTTTACTGCCTTATACAGAGTGTCTAAATATTTATTTTAAATAATTATTAGCTTTAAACCGCAATAACTTGTTTAATTTAAATGGAACACTAAACCTGAATTATTTATGTGTATTAGACAGTGTGGTAAAAACACCTTAAAAATGATATTTCATTTTTTGACAAATGCTTATTTATAACAACAGAGACGTTCATTTTCATAACTTATTATTATATTGATTGCTGATTCAAATCCACATTTATTTAGAATAATTTATTAACGAACACAATTAAGTATGTAATTAATTAGTATTTGGGCGGAAATACCGGTGGTATATTTAATTAATGGTAGACTCTTTTATAAAGATTTAAATAGTTTTCTTAAAATATCATCGTTTTACTAAAAACGATAATATTACTAGCCTGTACATTTTGTACATTTGTTGTTTTAAAAACAATCTAAAATGTCAATATTCCACGGGTATATTGATAAATGAGGTCTAAATTATAAGAAAATGCATTTTCTACGAAAACTTGAAGGGATAGGTAAAAAGTGATTTAATACAATTTGATAGACAATTAAATTGTGCATCTGACTCTCATAAAATATACAGGGTATTCCATTTAAATTAAACAAGTTATTGCCTTTTAAAGCTAGTAATTATTTAAAATAAATTTTTAGACACTCTGTATAAGGTAGTATAATTTTTATTATTGCAACACAATAACTGGTCAATAAATAAACTTCAGTAAATATTTAGAATTAAAAACTTTGATACCCTCGGAGAAATGAAGCCTTAAAATTTATACTGCAATTTCACAAAATTGAAAATATTTCAAAAACGGTAAGGTTTATGTGTAATAAACCTTAATCAAATTTACCTTTATTTTAATCGTAGAAACTAAAAATGTAATAATATACAGGGTGTTCCATTTAAAAAAATACAACTTTGATATTTTTTATTTATTTGGGACACTCTGTATCTTGTAAAAATATTTTGAAATTGTAGCTCTAATAGTCCTTCAACGAACCCAAAACTTACAATTTGTAAAAATCTAATCGTTTAGCTACAATACTCCGTGTCGTATGTGGTGAACAACCCTGTATATAGATAAGTTTTAAAACATATATGGCAATAATACTAACTTCAAACATTCAAATTTGTATCTAAAATAGATTCTAAAAAGCTTTTATCGAACAAGTTGCATGAAAAACTCTGTATACCTATACTACGAGATAAAATATTTTCACTTATTTAAGAAATAAGTATGTATACAATCTGTACACAAAAAAAAAGTTATGTGTTTTTCTATGGAATCTGCTATCTACTGACAAATACTAGGCACGTATTAAAAGACGTATTACTTAGAAGTTCCACTTATAAGAAAAGAGAACAAGGAAAGTTTCTGGAAGCGGCGAAAAAACAAGGTAACTTTTCGGGCCAAGAAACTGTGTTAGTTTAGGATTCCGTCAGGGCAGCTGGAGTAAGAAATATAATATTTATTAACGACATGACACAATCGTGGATGATTAACGAGCCTAGTAAATTTAATGAGGATATTTATGTTACCGTTAACAAGCCGGGGTCCTGAGATAAACATGACTAAATTATGGATAAAAATAATAATGGGATCATATAATATTTATATACTCCTCGCGAAAAATAGAAAATTATTATTAACTTACTTTTCTTACAATTTTCATAGTTTTGGCTAGTTTTTAGATCGAATATTCTTTTTAATGATAATTAACATTTTTGTTCTAGGTGGTAGTATACAGGTCTACATCAAAATATTGTTTTTTATCATAATTTAGTATTATATTTTTAAATGGAACACCCTGTATATTATTACATTTTTAGTTTCTACGATTAAAATAACGGTAAATTTGATTACGGTTTACCGCATTTTAATCTTACCGTTTGTGAAATATTGAGGTTTTTTGTCAAAATACAGTAAATAATTTTAATGCTTCATTTCTCTAGGCGTATTTAAGTATTTAAAACCAAATATTGTACTGAAGTATTTCTACTTACTAAATTTTGTGTTGCAATAATAAAAATTATACTACCTTATACAGAGTGTCTAAATATTTATTTTAAATAATTACTAGATTTAAACGGCAATAACTTGTTTAATTTAATCGGTACACCCTGTATATTTTAAGAGAATTAGATGCACAATTTAATTGTCTATCAAATATTATTGTACCATTTTTTACCTATCTCTTCACGTTTTCGTAGAAAATGCATTTTCTTATAATTTAGATCTTTTTTATCAATATACCCATGGAATATTGACATTTTAGATTATTTTTAAAGATGTAACAAATTTTTAAAGAGTACAGATACTAATATAGTCGATATAGTTCGTTTGTTTCATTTAAAAAAAATAAAAAAAAACTGTTTAAATATTTTTTTAAAAGGGACTAATCAATATGATGCCAGTATTCAAAGTAGATTAATTGACTGTTTGCGTTGATTTATAATAATTGCTCCAACTACTAAAAAAAATAATTTTGTATGTGTATTAGACAGTGTGGCAAAAAGTAACAACTTAAAAAAATTTGATTTTATTTTTTACGAATGCTTATTTATAACAATAGAGACGTTCATTTTCATAACATATTATATTGATCTCTGATTCAAATCCACATTTATTTAGAATAATTTATTAACTGACACAATTAAGTATGTAATTAATTAATATTTGGGCGGAAATAATGGTGGTATATTTAATTAATGGTATACTCTTTTATAAAGGTTTAAATAGTTTTTTATTGTATACAAATGGGCTAGTAATATTATCGTTTTTGGCTCCTGTACATTTTCTACATTTATTGCTTTAAAACCAATCTAAAATGTCAATATTCCATGGGTATATTGATATGTGAGGTCTAAATTATAAGAAAATGAATTTTCTACGAAAACTTGAAGGTCAAAAAATGTATAATACAATTTGACAATTAAATTGTGCATCTGGTTCTCCTAACATATACAGGGTGTTCCATTTAAGTTAAAATAAATTTTAGACACTCTGTATGATTTAGTATTATTTTTATTATTGCAACACAATAACTGGTCAATAAATAATTAGGAGAAATGAAGCCTTAAAATGTTTACTGCAAGTTCACAAAATTGAAAAAATGTGATAAACCTTAATCAAATTTACCATTATTTTAATCATATAAAGATTTTATGTCATATAAAATATTATACAGGGTTAGTCAAAAGTCCCGAAACGGCCATATATCTCAGAAACCGTTAGACTTAATTTTATGATATTTGGTATACGGGAATATTTGATTAAGCTTGATCCAATGGTGATAGAGGGGATGCTCTCAAATTTATAGTTTTTTCCCTAAGCCACTGAACCTTCTTATTTTGAATGAAAAGGCTATATTTTTATTCTATTTTTGGACCCCCCTTAAAATTAAGTATTTTTCATGTCCTATAGTCTCTGAAAAGTAGGCCCGAAATCGTAAACTAAACAGCGCAAGCTTATTCATTTCTTTTTGAACATCTAATGAAATCCACGTGAAAACCACCTATTGCGAAATATACTGCGCATGCTTAACATATCTAGGAACGTCTAAAAGTGTACAAATATTATCTGACTATAGTCATTTTTTATAGTTTTTTTTTGTTTTTACTCTTGGCTTTAGGTCGTTGGGGTTGCAAAGATGTTTCTAGATTTTGTTCATTATTTTTTTATTTTATGACGACGTTTCGACAAAAAAAAGTCATTTATTATCTGACTATAGTCATTTATTATCTGGCTATAGTCAGTTATGATCTGACTATAGTCATTTGTTATCTGACTATAGTCGGTTATTATCTGACTATAGTCATATATAAAAAAATCTCAGCTGGCCTCTCAGCGCTTCCGTATAATACATCTAGAAATGTAATAATAATAATGTAAATCTATCGTTATTCTCAATTTCATAGTTAAATTTAAGGGAATGAACACGATTTTTTAATTTAGATTAATTCTTACGCTTGGTTGATTTTGACTAGCCTGGCTAGTTATGCACGCCTGCACGGTGCCAACTGAGCGCCTATATAAACGCTCAATTTGTAGACGTTAATTAAGTTTTAATCATCTGCTGATGATGCTACCATGGTGAGCGAAACGCGCGTCCAGCACAAAAGTAAAAGTGTTTTGGTGTGAATTAGTGTTTTATTTTGCTTAATAATATATGACTAGTAGAACTAGTCGTTCTTAATATTTATACACAGTGTTCAAAAAATGCACGGTCAAATTTTAGGGTGTAATTTCATAAAAAAATATGAAAAAACTCTGTATAAACATGGGTCCGAAAATACATAGTTTTAAAGATACAGAATGTTAAGTTAATACTTTTAAGGTTCTAAATTATATTAAATAACATTACGTTTTTTTGCATTTACTGTAAGTATGATTAAACACAAAAATGCTGCAAATTGTAAATTGTGGTTTAACTTTGTTATCAAGTATTTTATTATGATAGTTTACCCTAGCGTTTACCTAAGTTTGTTTAATGGGAATCCAGAGACCAGTAATGAGTAGAAAAAGTCAGTGGAGTACATTTTTTCACAATTATTTTGGTTATAGGATTTGTTTTTTAAACAGAAGTAAGAGTTTTATTTTACTTCTTGAATACTACTAGTGAATTAATATAAGCTATATCGTCTTGGTTATGCCTAACCATAAATAATAGAGTCATAACTCCTTTGAGACTTTATTAAAGGAAATTAAGATGCCATAATTCTCTCTAACTTTTATAGGTAATAACCATGAAATACAATAAAGATTTTAAGTTTAAGTAATAATATGAAATGAAAATAGACACTCATACCACAGTTTAAAGATATTTATATTCTTTAAACTGTGCTCATACTCTAATAATTTATTACATCATTAAAGTCACAATATAATACATTTACAAGAGTACAGTCTCATCCTCTGCTACAATATTTCTCTGTCCCAGCCACTGACTGGTACCGTGTGATCGAAAAAAAATTATTGTAAACATTTGTAAATGTTTATTTTAAACAATGACTGACAATGTAATTTGTATAATGTTTTGTATTCTCTTTTCTTTGTTTGTTTACTATGTTTGTTTACTTTACCTTTGTCTACAAATTGTAAAATTTTTAACAATAAAGGCATTTATTTATTTATTTAAGTGACGATCGATGACTTTTCCCATATAAATTTACATATAAAATGACAGCGATCTTCATTTCATAGCCATCGCTGACGCCGTTTTTTTTTCGATCATACGGTTATCTTTATATTCCTTTTGGTAAATTTGGTGTGTGGGTTCACTTTTAGTTGGAAGTAATGCTTGTCGTGCTTCTTAAGCTTTTTTTTAATACTTCCTCCGTTTGAATGAAAACGTTCTCGAACGTGTGCCGAATGCGTACGAAAGGCGTTTTTTTGCCAAAAAACCTAGCTCGATTGACAACCATCAAATTATAAACAGATCGTTTAATACAATAGTAATCTGGCAACAAACAATGCTCCTATCAGCAGCGTTAATACAGATATACCGGAAGATTAATAAATGCAACATTTTTGTCGTCTTAGAATGGGACAAAATGTACTAAATTCAGTAAGAAATAAAATTATCTATGTACCACAGGAATTATAAAGTGTAATTAACTTTGGGCAATTATTGTCAGAAACTTTGCCATTGCGTGGTAATAACACTCATATAATTCCATTGATACATTAACTATAAAAATAACAGTAATTTTCGGTGTGGCAAAAAATATCACTAAGGCAGAAAAATTTATAAAAGAGGTTTATAAAGATAAAGAAAGACAAAATAAAGCTATTTGAGTTAGATACTCTAAGGTATTCAAAAATTTATGAATTTCGACTATTTTGAATTTAAAATCTATTTTTTAACGTTGTGCCCTCTATACTTATAATATACAGTTTATTAAAATAATTTTTGTTGCTATACGAATTATTTTAAAATACCTAAAGCACCCTAACTTACCCCATAATAGCTCCCTAGCCCTGAATCATGATGAGACAACTGAGGAAGACTTCTTGATCGTGGTAGACCTATTCTACGAGGTCGACAGTCGCTTGACAGGTCATCATCTGTCAATGCCATCTACACATGTAATAGAATTAGTACAATTTGAAAGATCTTGTAATATTTTTTTTTGGATATTAATAATAATATTTATACCTAGTTCTTCATCAATATGGTTTTTCTTTGAAGAACTTCTTCTTGAAAAGTTTAGATGGTTGTGTGGACTTCATCTGAACCATGCTTCATCCACATATATATATGGTTTTTTTATACAGTAAATATTCGTCTGTAAAGAAAGAAAATATATTAAAAATAAAATTAAATATTAAACAATAAACTAAAAACATTCATTGTTTTTTATTTGTTTTGAAATTTTTAAGAAACAAATTTTATCGCCATTAATGATATCAAAACGTTACCGCGGGGTGTCTCACTTGGGTACATGTACTGCCAAAATTTCATTTTACTGCCAAGTGACTCCCAATGACTAGGAAGAAGACATCTGCTATATAATGATTAATTATTATAGTCAACTGCCGTATGACTGATGCCAGCGACTAGAGGTGTGTAGTTCATGAACGAGCTAGTTCCAATGAACTATGACTGACCCCGAAACGAAAGGAACTAGTTTCCCGTTTCTTAAAAGACTAGTTCTTGAGGACCTATTTCGAGGACCGAGATATAATATAATAATAATAACATACTGCATGGTAATAACATGCGACGGCGACGGATTGCCATTATCTGCAAGGAGACTTACCAATATGTTTTTGATATACGCCATTACACGTGGCGTAATATTTCGTACATTATAAAAATTATACAGATCATACTATGAATAGTTTTGACTTATAACGAAACCCATGAGCACGCAACAGGGATGTCAATATTAGTTGGGAACTAATGTGAACTAAATATTTAGTTCAAGGAACTATTCCTCTGGAGAAACTAGAACTAAGGAACTAGTTCCTCACAAAGAACTAGAATTCGCACTTCTACTAACGACTGCCAGCGACTGCCAAAAAAATGTACATGTAATTCCAACAGGATACCCTTCGATTGTTGCGTACTACTAGAAATCTATTGAAAAAAAAAATTAGGTACTTCTCATCTATTGAAATAAATGAAAATCGATTCTGATGGCGAACCTATGACCCGTTGGTCAGACAGTCACCCAGCACACAAGATTTTAACTGACCAACGATTGCTAGGCAACCATTTGTTTGTTTACGCGGATTATTTAGATTTTATAATTTATGCGGATAATTGATATTCTATTTGTATTTTCTCAAGCACTGGGCATTGACACGAAAGTAATTTAAATGCTGTCTATAACCTTCAGTTTGATCATTACTGTTCTAAAGTTACGCAAATAACGACAAATGCGCTTGTAGTATTTGAAAAATACTTAGTTAAAAATGTTTAAACTTAACTCTGGTGCAGATCGGCACTGATGACGATGAGCTAATACTAAAAAAATATGAATAAAAGTCTAAGCTATTAAATTATTAAAAATATTATTAATTAATGTTGATAATCGGTTAAAATACTACTATTTTCTTAATTATTAATAATATACCGTGTGCGTCTCAAAAGTGGCTCCCCAATAACTTTTTTATTTTTTTAGATCAAAAAACGAGACTTGATATGTTAGCATATGACATAAATTAGGATTGATTGACGTATTCAACTGTTTTTGATCACTTCCTGTTTTACCGGAAATGGCTACATCTTTTGATTTTTAAATGGCACCATAGGAATTTTTTTACTTTATTTGATAGAAAATGACACTGAATAGAATGACATATCATAAGTCAATTTTTGACATTTTCGCTTTAAAATAAATCGTATTTTAAGATTTATTTTGATAGATTTGACCGTTGTTTTTCGTGTCTGGTTCTTGCCCGTTAAAAGATGCTCAAATCGTATTTTTAATCATATTTCAATTTTTTCAAATGGAACAAGGGTGGCTCGTTAGCATTTTTGGAAAAAGCATTTTTTTACTAATAATTCCATACTACACACTTGACATCTCGAGTCAAATTGTCGTTATGGACCGCATGTTACAATTTCAAATAAACCATATGGGAAAATGTCAAAAATTGACATATGATATGTAATTCTATTGAGAGTGTCATTTTCTATCGAATAAAGCAAAAAAAACGAGGGAGCCATTTAAAAATCAAAAGTTATAGTTCATTTTGGGTAAAACAGGAAGTGACCAAAAACAATTGAATGCGTCAATCATTCCTAATCTATGTCATATACTAACATACCAACTCGTTGTTTTTTAATGTGGAGCCACTTTTGAGACGCACCTGGTATAAAATATATTCAAAAAATTAAAGCAGTGCTTGATTTGTTTATTATTTTTAGATTTTACATTTAACGTTAATTTAGACTGCTCTTTCAGATGTTTAATAATAAAATCAGAAAATATCAGAAACCTATTATTTTAAGCTGTTATATACAGGATGTTTTTCAAAAGTGGCTCACCTCTATAACATTTTAATTTGTTCATGTAATAAAACGAAATTTGGCATGTTGGTATGTGACATAAATCGGGATTGATTGACGTATTCAATTACTGACTACAAAATGATTTGATTGTCTATTGTTTTACGTGTCTTTTCCTGGCTGGTTAAAATATCGTATTAATAAAACCAATCCATATTTTTAATCATAATCCACTTATTTCAAAAGAAACTAGGGTGGCTCATTAGAATATTAGGAAAATGAATTTTTTACGAATAATTTGGTACCACATACTTGGTATTTCGAGTCAAATTGTCGTTACATTTATGGCCATACTCTATATTGAAATTTAGAATTATTATTTTAATACAAATTATTTTTAACTGAAAATGTTAAAAGTTGATAAATGATATGTCATTATATTCAAAATGTAATTTAAAAATCAAAAGTTGTAGGTGTGAGCCACTTTTGAAAAGCACCCGGTATAAATAACTATAACAGTTTCAACTGTTATTAAAAAATATCAGTTTTATCGACCAATATTTCAAAATATCTTATTTTATAAATATATTAATTTTAATAATTTATTATTGTCTACCCCTTTCAAACAAATGTTATATCCATTAAGAAATGACTTAATTCGAAGAAACAATTTGAGTTATTCAAGAAACAATCTGTTGACCCTCTTTTTTTAAACGCCACAAGAAACTCCAACCTCCATAAATTTGTTCTGTAATTTATGGCAGCCCAATTTTTTAATATTAACATTGTACCTAACGGAATCTCAGTTGACTAACTTCTCGACTTTCTTTTTTATATCTCCTTTTTATATAATAATTAATTTCCAGGGATCTCAAAAGATTTAAAACTCTTTTTATTTTTCACTCAGTGAAACACTCAGTGATGAAATGCTGCTACTTAAATTTACTTATTATTTTTATTTTTTTTTTCTAATTAATAGCTAATGTTATTTTACTTTTTATATTAAATTTAATAAACCAAATCTGGTCCCAGTGATCACTCAAGCGAATATTCTTTGTTTAAATCAATTTCTGGTCCTTTTTGAGCATCGGTCGTACAAGAATAGCCCGCCACCCCCGCTGCTACAACAGCCCCAGTTTGGCCGCCCCGCCCCCTCTAAATATACCGCCGGTCATTAATCAAAAACGCGTCACGTTCAAGACGTTTCTTGAAAAAAAATGCGCTCAGGCATAAAGCAGATAATCAAACTTCGGTTTTTTCTTATCGGCCTGTTTTTCGATAGAGATGGGCATTAAATATCGACTTTTTCAAAATATCGAATTATCCAAATAATATCCAAATACACGTCCAAACAATTTTTAAATTACAACAAAAGCTGCCTAAATTGGAATTTACCCGGTAGTATCCTTAATATGTAGTTAAATCAACTAATGTACTTTAAATAAAATTAAAACTTGATCCAAAAACTTATACAGGGTGCGACATAATTAATATTAAACATTGGTCACCTTTAGCTTTTAAACGTGACCAATGTTCAATATTAATTTTGCCAGTGTCCTGTTAAGAACCTCGTTACAACCCGTAGATTGTTCTTACTTAAATCAAGGAAAATGTTCATTTTTCTCGCTTGTAAGTTCTACGAGTGCCTTAGACACTAATATTCTAGGCGTTCTATTTAAAATGGAACACCTAGAATATTATTCCAATATTCAATGGGAAATTCATGTCTTTTCACAATACTATTAAAGTTGCGTACCCCTCAAACAAATATTTTCCTAGATATTTTCATTTTTATGATTCGGTGTTAGTGGATCATTATTATTTGATAAATCTAAGTGGCTGTGAAGTTTGACGTTACTTCAACATAGCTGTCTAATCAGTCCAACCATTAAAAAACTAGTTATCATTTTGTGTCAGTTAAAAGAAAAAAAATTCTCAGAAATTTTCTGAAAATGCAAACTTATCCTATATCAGAAAGAATTCATATGATTTTATTAGTTGGTGAATGCAATGTGCATTCACCAATCAATAGAATACTTAAATGCTCCTGATATTATCTAATCTGGGCTTTTTTATGGGGATATGTTACAGACAGTGTTTACAAAACTCGACCAACTATTGTCGACAACATCAGAGAAATTATTGTAGCTGCTTTTTGAGGTAGAACTCCACATAAATGCTTTTAAAATGAAAAGATCCTTTTGAAAAGACAATCATTTTATGCAGTTAACAGGAAAGGAAGCATTTTGAGCATTTTTTTTCATCTAGCTAATTTTTGTCACATAATTATAAGTTTGTAGAATGTTTGTAGAATGTTTAGGAGGGGAGTTAATCACCGCGACCTTATAGATCTATTGTGTGTTCCCATTTCTTGAGTTATAACGAGTTATAACTCATCATACAGTCTCAGGCCTTTAACAAAAGCCAGTATCTGAGACAGTTCCACAGAGGCCAGCTCTCCATCCTCGACATCAGACATACCAAGGTTCATGGCACGAATGGTCGTCGTCTCGGCGTCCAAGAACCTTGGTACGTAATTATAGGTTTATATCTAGTTTTAATACTGTAATAATTAAAATATGTTTTAAACGTTTATCTTTCTATTACCGTTAAGTATTTTACTCTACAATCTTTAATTTTTGTTAAATTAATAAAGGTATGTCACAGAGCCACCTAGATTTTTTTAAATAATAAAGATCTACTGACACAAAATAAAAATTAAAATATCTAGAAAAATCTTTGTCTGAGAGGTAGGCAACCTTAATAATGTTTTGAAGATATATAAATTCCCCATTGAACACCGGAACATATACTGGGTGTTCCATTTAA